TAAGACTGGAACCTGAACTTTTTCTCTTAGAAATGGTTGCAAGAAGGAAGAATTAAGTACCTGCCGTAAGCAGGCCTCAATAGAGATACTGGCCTATTGAAGAAACGTTAATATTCAATTGCGGTTGCATCACACCATAGGGTGGTAGAAACGAGATCCACATATGCTGGTTTTCTTTGTTTCAACGGATCGCGGTGAGCCCCGGGAATTTTACTCGATGGGAGTGGTTATCTACAAGAAGGACAAAGCATCAGAGACAGGGGTAATGGATTTTTAGTTCAAGCCTTACCTGAACCTCATCTCAATTAAAGTATGTCGGCTTTAGCTCTGATTCGCTTGGAATCCTTCCCTCCTCAACATAAATCTCCTTAATTTCCGTCGACAGGCGTGTATTTTTCTACAACTTGCAGCAAAATGGATTCACTTCATTTCGCCCGTCTGGTTCTTCTCTACGGTTTTATCACCATGCTAGCAGCCGCCTTGCCCACCGGGGGCCTTCCAGACTGCTATCCTAAATGGGATACTAAGCCAGGAAAGAATTGTCCAGACAAGGGTTATTAGATCATTGCAATTTTCAATCACTTGATATGAGTTTCACGTGGAATATTGAACCATTATCTACATCCATGAAGCAACAGCAGTAAGTTCCTTTCGCCTTTTTCAAGCCCGCAAATACTCACTTCTTGGTTCAGCCCCTCGGAAATATTTTGCGAATATCAATCCTCACAATACGCTCTTGAACAATGCTCCAAGGTTCAAGTTCACATGCTCTTTTTGAAGAAATAAAAACCCCAAAGTGATTTAATGCGATGCGTTTTTCCCGCTTCAAATTGGTAACTCCTTCAATTGATTTTCGAACATTGGCCCGCTATTATTCTTTTCTTCTTGTTTTAAATGACCCAAAACGATCATCACAATAAAATATTAGTGTCTGCGAAAATGACGCGCAAGATGGCTGGCCTTACAATACTGCCTATCTATTTTAAACTTATAATTCTTTGTCACTAGTACTAGTCATGGATATGGTAATTGCGTACGGAAGTAGGATTAGCGATCATGATTTCAAATTATAGTACAGAAAATTTGTAAGCATTAACTAGTTATACCAACAAAACCCATATTTCCCTTTCAACCACCGACTATCACTCCCCGGCTCGACACTCACTCCTGATCGTGCTTTTCCAATTTCATCTGCATCCATCTATCGCGAGCCGCCTCACACTTCCAATCCTTGTCACGGCAGTTCTCCTTTGCCTCAGCTAGCCATCCATCCCAATTCTTGGTCGCCGGGGCAGACTTGGTCTTCTTGACCCAGGCAATCCTCTCCGTGGTTCGGATAGCATCCCATAGCACCTGAGTGAAATTATCATTCGGGTGATCGTCAATCTTTTCCACCACGTATCGGTCATCCATATTCCACATTTCGGATGGATCTGTGAGAAGTGCCATGGCCCAATAGGCGAGGTTGAGAATAATGTAGGCCAGGCCAACAGCAATCTGAATCTTCCAGCCAGTATTACTGAAGAAGATAATAGCAGCCATGAGCAGAACCGTACTTGTGGCAAGGAGGACTTGGTGATACCGCCCATTGAAAACGTAATCACAGGCCTCGGTGCCCGCATAAAGCTCGCGTGCAACCTCCTCGGTACATTTAACACACACGAAGGCACCTGATCGCGTACGGATTACAACGTCTCCGTCGGCCACCTTTCCTTTGACTGTCCGGACAGAGAGAGATGGGCGCCACTGTGCGGACATGCAGGCCATGCTTGTTGACAAGGACATCGTTCCCAGACCGAGCAAACCTACAGCCTCATGCTGAACGCCGGCCCAGACGAAAAGCGCGATTGTCATCAGAATTGAAGCAAATGTGACCAGATTCAAGGGACAGAACTTGTGAAGCGGGATGATGGCCTTTTCGGGACACTTTGGCTTTTTCTCGCCAGCCTCGTTCTTCTCGAGGTCCTGCTCGAGGTCCTTGTTTGCATCCTTCCTGTGGCTGATTCGGAAGCACTGGAATCGGAATGGGGGCAATGACTCGATGTCATGAATCACGTTGGCGAAGAAATTGAGTTCGGTAAACTGGTTGCCAGAGTGGACGCCAACGACGGTTACGTCTTTGACAGCTGGCAGTCGGGCTGGTCGGTCGGTGTCCAGCATCGTCTCGGGGGCCGGTAGAAGTCGAGGGAAGCTGCCAAACGGCGATGCGGTGATGGCCTGCGCATGCTTCTCAATAGCGGATCCTCCAACAACCGCCAGTAAACCGACAATATCGAAACTCCAGGAGACTGCGTCATCCTCGATGTTCAATGGAAACCAGACCATCTTGATTTTCTAGCGAACAAGATTAAATGGGAATGAAATGTGATACACAACGACAGGAAGCGAAAACTGAAGAGGAAAAACACCACTTTAGAAGGTGGAGAGGCCCCCAAAAGACCTCTATTCCCAAGCTAGCTCCCATTTTCGCGCGGAGTGGGGTCGCGAAAGAATTCACGATTGCTTGACATCAGATGGTAGAAGCTGCAGATTAGCGAAGCTTTCTTTGGGGGGGGGCAGCACGATGAGCGGTTCATGGGCTCCATTAAACAGTGGGTACAGATCTCGGGGTACCAATTAAATCTACTCTAAGCGCGGAAAAATCTGTATCTGGTCCCCAAGCTGAGATGCCAGTCCAGAAGACCCAGTAAACAAACCCGAGTTGATGTTTTCTGATCCACATCATTGCAGGGTCCGTTAACATTTGATGCTGTCTGCAGGGAGTGCGGAGCAGGCACGGGTTCACCGACGCATTGAAAATATGGCTACGAAACCTGACTGGCTTCTTTTAGGCTCCGATGGTGGGTCGACGTGTACGGAGTGCATACTGTACAGTAGTTGCGTTTGCGGAGTTGTTTACAGATCCACAGCTGAGCCAGCCACCGAATATGCCACTACCCGAGTCAACCCCCCCATTAAGAAACCTCCGCAGCTGGCAAGACTTGCCGAGATGTGTGCAGCCTCCTTGATTGGTGGCTAAATAATCTACGGTACTTATGTACATGCGAATGATACATGCACTCCGCTATATGTTTGTAGAAATCGCACAAAATAACGTAACAGAGAGCGGCCAAATCTGAGAATGTAGATCCGCCATCCCGTTCTCCACCTGATCTTGAACATGTCGATCACCAGGGCGTTCAACTTGCGATAAAAATACGTCTACATGCTACCGAGACCCACCGGGGTGAAAGAGATTTCTCAGGTTCGTCGAAGTACATACATACTACTCGTACTAGTAGTATCTTATTCGCACGGACTTTCATGGTGTTGAGGATCTCATTCAGCTGGGTGGATGAAGAAACTTTTCCCTAGTGTACTATACTATATGTACATAATCCCGGCCGTTTGGTTACTACCAAACTAGATCTTCTCATTCGATAATGCCTGTCGGCCAGCATCATTTCCTGATGTCAATCCCAACAAATATTTTTTAGTCGTGTCGTCAAGACGAGAACCCGCCAGAAGAATGCCCATGATATGACCCGCCAGTTGTCCTTGTGTGATGAGACCACAGCGAATCACGTCGCCCATCAAGTCATAAGTACTGTGTACCTTGAGTCCCCGCATTATGCGCTCTGAAATATAGTCAGTTTCATGTCTCAAACGGCTGCGAGGCTGCGGGAATATCTTACTGCTCAACCCCCAACTGGCGGGCTTGGTAATCTGCACCTTATAGCTGCGAATCCATGACTTGGGATACGAGGCTCGCAGTCCGATCGGGTGGCCCAGACTCTTGATTGAGAGAGTGCTGGTATTGCGAACCTCGGGCGTTGCGGCCGCTTCGTCTTGTTGACCACTGGTACTTTTGACCTCTGGCGATGGTTGACTGGCCTCCCCACCGGTCTGCGGAGAACTGCCTTCTTGGTTTTCTTTCACAGCGGGGTCCGAGTTTGCCTCATCCCCAGCTGCCACAAGCTCTGTTAGGTCTACTGGTAGTTAGTGGGCTGTTCCGGCATCCATGTGTCTCAGGACACTGACCTTCTTCGGGCTCCTGGTGGTCCAGTGCGCTGTCGGAATTGCCATCGGCCTGGTTGCTTTTCTCTCTAGGCTTGGAGGCAATGCCAGTGAGTTCCTCAAGAGCTAATTTATCCTCTGAGTAGCAGTTAGTTTATTGTCGGTATGCTTCATTCAAGGGAACCATACTATAAACAATGATTCCATGCTCAAATCGGGCGTTGGCGGAGTAGGCGATGAGGAAAAACACATCAATAAAGCCAATAAATCGAATCTTGCCAGCCCATTGCTCATCGTTGATGGAGAGCTCCCATGGATGTATATCGCTGAGCCATTAGCCTCAGAACCAGTGAATGAAGAGCCTTGCTACCAGATGAGATGTACTCACCAGTCACATTCCAAAGTATTATCTTGAATCGACCTCCCAAAGGTCTCCAGTACTCGGTGGTAGGATGCCATTCTGACTTTAATTCAGTTCAGGTGGTGTAGCGTAGATCCTGTTCAGATAATTAACATGAACAAGGTGTCGAGAGCAAAATGCTTGGAAGTCGTGATTGTGCCGAAACCCATCGACAGGCCTCAGGAAGCCCCGAGGGGGTGGGTCAAAATGTCATGGTTGACCTGCACTCCACCCTCAGCTGTATGCAGTTCGGTGGGGTATCTCCACTGCGTGTGTACAAACACCACAAAATGTCAACCTGCGCTGACGTGTTTGCGGCATTTCGGTCTTCACTTTTCTCCCTCCTCGTGGGTCTTCAAATGTGGATTCTACGAAAAGCGGAGGCCCCCGCCACCGAAAGACGTTCAGCTGCAGGTGCAAAGCATTTCCGTGTACGAGTAGGTACGAGTACAGTACTGGGTTTCCTGGGTAAGCTTGTTTGCCATACGATCAATCAACCTCTGTGAATATTGCGTTCCCATTAGGCTGGTAGGAAACTCCTCTCTCCCCGCCAAAAGCTATAATTTTCCCTCCGAGCCCTCAGTTGCCCGAGTTTCAAGTCACAATGAATTCGCTTGACTCGATCAAATCAGCCCTTGCGGACTCGATTATCTCTAATTCGACCCTTAAAGAGGCAGTCGACATCGCCAGTTTTGTCACCGATCGTTCAAAGCGATTCAAGGATGTTGCACTTGACAACGATCAAAAGCACAAGCTGCGCCGAGTTCTCAACCATTTCCTTGTCCCGACCGTCAAACCGAAATTTGTGGACGATGATGCAAGCATAACCCACGATGATGATCGTGTGCCAGTGGACTGGTTGGCCCAGGCCGAGCAAGATTTGAAAACACCAACGCGCATGATTGATGTGGACACTATGAATATGGTTCCGACGTATAGTCTCGGCTTGCAAGATCAGTACTGTATCGTGTCTCATAGCTGGAAAGGCTCCGAGATTACTTACGGAGACTTCGGTCAGGCTAGATCATTCGAGCCGAAAAAAGACCTGGCGAATACCGAATCGCAGCCAGCCTCGAATGACGTGAACAATGTCGTTAATAAGTGCAAGTCGGATATTGAGAATCTTCAACAAAAAATTGAAGCCGCGCTTCCGGACGTCCGCGCCAGATCCGATGGACAACGCCCCCAAGATATCACCACCCTCCTTCAGTGGTACGCCGATGCCAATGGAGCTGAATGGTCTCTTGGAAGCTCGCAAAAGAAGTTTCATGATGCCAAAGCAACCTTGGCAAGTGCCGAAAGAGAAGCTGAGTTCTATACCACTCTTTCAAACAGCATCAATATTCTCAGCAACGACCTGTCCGGAGCCGATAAACCAGATACCTCAGAGAAGGGGCCAGAGATGAAGCAGGTAGACTCAGCAATTCTCAGTATGAAAGAACATGCACAGGAGAGCTGCTCGCACACGGAAGAAAGGCATCTCGAAGCCGTGGCACAAAGGGCAGAGCTAGACAGTACGATTGTTTTCTTCGATCAGAATCGTGAGCTCTGCTATGGAATTGAGGCACTTCTAGTGGCCTTACAGCACATCCGTTCTTCACGCAAGATTCTGAAGTCAATCTCTCAGACAAAAAAGCTATTTGATGCTCACTTTCCTCGAGGAGGGAAGCGATATGTCTGGCTTGATACCTGTTGTATCAATAAAGCGGATAGCTTTGAGTTGACCGAGTCTCTTTCCTTGATGGGAGACTGGTACACCAATGCTGATCTGTGTCTTGTGCATTTGGATACCCCACGAGATGAAAGATCATGGATTGAAGAATGGAAGTTTTGGAAGGATCCTTCTCATGTCCCGGTTCCGCTCAACATGACCACCTATGGTCAGATCGGCGCCGGTGCCAACGACATAGAAAAGAACAAATATCAAGTCGAATGGGCAACCCGTGGATGGACATTGCAAGAGCTGGTTTTGAGCAAGGTGACCTACTACGTCAATTCTCACTGGCAGAATCTCACCCGACCTGTTGAAGTCCTGGGCCCCTTGTACTTCCTTCGTCCATTCATTCGAAGCTATTTGCAGCACCCCTATGTCAAGAAGCATAAGAACCTATCTTCTGATCGCATTGAGAAGCTCAAGGAATTGCTCTCCCCAGAGTTTGTCCACCCTGGGATGTCTCAGGAGCAGGAGCTCACCGTGATGCTTCTCACACTAGGATTTGTGGCACCGAGAGGCCTACAGGAGACTTTGGCCGAGTCCCAGATTGGAAAGGCAGTCCTTACTGCTTCCAGACAGCTCCCTAGTGCTTTGAAAGGTCTATTATCCAGTAAGGATATTTCCGACACCAGTATACTGTCGGCCTTCACCGACGAGTCTGCTACCGACGAGTCTGGTATCGCCGAAAGGATAACCCTCTTCAACTACTTGTTGTCTGCTTTGGCCAACCTCACAGACGTTCAGGTCCTTGGCGATCGTCAATTTATTGCTAAGTTCAGCAAGGTCGAGAACATGACGAACTGGATTAGTGGTACTCTTGGGGATTCATCTGCTAGCACTTCCCTTGTCGCGGCATCAGAGCGTGTGACAACGGTTTCCACTGATCAGGCATATTCTCTGATGGGTATTTTGGGTGTGAGGTTTCCAGCCTTCCCTGCAGAAGGTCTTCCTAAGGCTCTTGCACGACTTTTGGATGAGGTTGTCATTGCATACAATGATGTCTCGGTTTTCAATTGGACCGGAAAGCACCGTGGAAGCCCTCTTCACGGTCGATCTTTGTATCCCACGAACATTGACGCTTTTGTCGATCCTACGAGCAACCCTCTGGTGAAATCGAAAGCCCAGACAAGCAAACGCATCTTGGACCTCTTCCGAGCCCAGCGAGTGCGCCAAAGCGAAACTGCAAGCAATGTGAACATGCTCCTGGCTGAGATGCTGGCTCATAGCAAGAAGCTACCCGAACAATGCTCAGTGTTTATCAAACTAGGAGAGTTGGTCACACAGATCAAAGGTACCAGTTTCGACCGGCTGGGTACTCATATTGAAGAATTAAAGGAAATCGTCTCCAAGCTTCAGGACTTCACGCCTGAAGAAGCCGATGAGGATACTAAAAACCAGTCTCTTGCTGGTAGGTTGAACAATACCATGGAGCGAGTTGATTCATTCTCCAAATCCTGGCAGGCGCCTAAGATTGAAGTCCCCAAATTTGAGGTACCCAAAATGTCTTTCGGGTGGAAAAAAGCGCCAGCTGAAAAGGCCCAACCGAGCGAGCCTACGACGCCTATCAAGCCTCCTCAAACTGCCGAGCCTGCAGAGAAGGAGCCATCCGCTGCTGTCCTCCAATACGAGGCACTCGATCAAAAGATCCAGGATGTCATCAATGTTCTCAGTGGCACTGTGGAGCCTGAAGTGAGATCTGACAAAGATATCCCACTGGAGGCAAAGCTTGGCACGACCGGAGACAGAAGTAACGAAGATAACAGCACCCCGGTCCAAAAGCCAGAAGGTAGAAGGATGGTCTGCCCGAACCCGATCACAGTTAGCAGTGGTGGCATTCGGGGAATCTTCGACATTCAACGAATCATCGTCACGATGATTGAACCCGAAGTCCTACGTTCCCGAGTCCGATCTGCGGTCAGAGGCCAGAAGATTGATGGTTGGTGTACTATCAGCACTGGTCTCTCCGTGACTCTGGTCGCCTTCTCCGCCGATCGAGATGTTCTGGCCCAGCAGCTCGACCTAACCGAAGTGATCAAGAGCCACATTGACCCCGAAGAGTCTCCCGCAAGTGATCCGGCAACAGATACCTCTAAAAGTGAGGAGGGCATCCTAGATAATCTCAAATTGGAGAAAACACCCGAGCAAGTCAAGGTTGGTCGTATGATCAACTTTGTGCAAAAGCAAGATCTGCACGGTATCGCCGGAGAATGGGTGTTGATCCGCTTCTCGGGTGTGCCTGGAGCCCAGTGGTTCCTCTCTGAATTGGTACTAGGTGCTGGCAACGACTTCTACGGCAAACGAATTGCCACAGATGCTTTCAGCTTCGAGGATGCAGCTCCAGAGCAAGGACTGACTGAGTATTGGCATCAATTTACCACAGAGAAGAAGGCGCGCACTTGTGATACCCTTGACATGTATCTCAACCGCAAAAAGATGCTCCAAGCCGCCGGTGGCCAATTGGACCAGTTACAGAAAGTGGAAAATCCTTCCCAGGGAGCTGGTAAAGAAGGTTTCCAAGGCGATTTGGAGAGTGTATGGGAGATTGTGCAAAATGTCTCTCTGGACAAGGTGGTCAATCTGGGCAAGATGTCAGGCTTAGGTGTTGGAAGTTTGGGCGCCCAGGTTTGGGCCAACCACCTGGAAGGGCGAATTGAGAAGGGTGCACTAAAACGCGTACCGGTTCATTTGAGAACCCCAGTGCGAGATCTTGATCAGAACCGGAAGTTGCTGCCAGCCATGTTCCATGCTGGACGCGAGATGCATATGTTTTAGTGAAGGAATTCGGAACTCATTTGTAATTAGTCAATCCAATTTCAACTATGAATATTCACTACTCATATTCACAAAAAGCTGAGTCCCATGTAACTCTTCCAGCGCTCACGTTATCCATCTCGGTGTGATGTATGGTTATCAAAATAGCACACGGCGCGCCTTCTGTCGTCAATTGAAAAGCTTCCAGAGACAATGAGTAGCTCAAAGGAGTCCTCGTCATCCCAGCCACATTTTCCTTCGGTTTAAGACTGGGTAGAACAATGGGCTTTGTCTTAAGGTCGGGAATACGAGTATTAAACTTCATAAGCTGACCCTCAACCGAGGTGGGCTGACTGTCAGAAATCCACTGTTGATTGCGGCGCCTAGTGGTGCCTGAAATATTACTGTATCCGAAATGAAAATGAGTAATTTATCTCCCTTTCAGATCTAAAATACTCGCCTACCGAACTACCTGCAACCAATGCATGACGTACCGCTTTGTTGGTGGTGGTGGTGGGGCACAGCTGAATAAATCCAGTGCAAAAATAGCGGGGGCGCAGCTTAGTACTAGAGGCTGGGCCAAGAAAATTGTTGATTTTAATCCTTCCATGATCCATGCCTAGGTGCGGTCCACCTCCATTCATTAAAGCTCGCTTCTGTCCTTCTTCCGCTTTGTCGGCTGATACTCAACTTTGAACACCTACAGACAAAATCCAACCCGCTGCGTAACACAACAGAGAGCAAAATGGAGTCTCTCATACCAATCGGCATAAACGAGTTCGTTCAAATGTCAGATATCGATGCGGTCCATTTATTTGGAACTGTGTTTCCAAAAGAACTGTCGCATTTGAAGAATGCACATGTCACAGTAGAGTCCTCCACAGCAACAGCATTGGGACGGTTGGGAGAGAACGAGAACGAGACACCCTCAAATGTTCTTTACAAGGAAGATTTCCCGGAGGTTAATCGCACACTTGTCAGCATGCTGGCGATCAAATGGGTGATCGGAAACGAATATACATCTTTTACAGCCACCCAGAAGACCAACAAATTATCAGAACGTTCCTTCCAACGCCTGCGCGATTTCTACAACGATCGTATACGCACTACGGCTGACTTGCATTCGTTGTTGATTGCCATGGTGATCGATGACATAGGCAAGGATCCTGCTCTTTCAGAGGAAATGGCCCAACTGGGTGTCGACGCGTCCTACACGGATCATTCTGATTTGGTTTACAAAGCAGCACAAGCGAAACTGATTCCATCTCTGAATATTATCCCAGCCAACTCCCAACATGATGTTCTCGATTGTCTTCATATTGGTTCGAAGTTGAATATTTCCCAGGCTGTCCAAGGAGAATGCCCTCCGGCGAGCCTCGAAATTCTATCACACTTGCAGGGCAAAGGCAATGGTGTTAATCTCCGAGCTATGGTGACATTCCTTGATGTGGCTGGAGCAGGAGGACATGCAGACACTCGCAGTTGCATTGTGATGGGCGAACCTGTTTTCCAAGCATATATGTCTGCCCTGGATTCTTTCGATCGCTTTTCTAAGGGAACCTTACTGTCACCACGGGAATGCTACGACCATATCCTTGATACCCGAGCAGAAAACCTCCGACAGCTAGGCTTTGAGTTTCCGGCCGATGCAAATGGAGCACGGGCGCTCTCTCGGTTGCTTTGTATGGGTCGTGTAACTACCAAGGAACAAGCCTATCAATTTTACCAGGCACTTGATCAACTCAGTCCCTCAGCCAAGAAAGATCTTGTGAATGGTCTCAATGTGGACGGTATTGATGACGGGGTTGCTATTGTTCCATACTATGCTCCTGGTCTGATCGCCGATGCCCTCAAAGGTACAGACAAAACGGATGTCATGGTTATTCCAGTTCTGTCTGCATTTTTCCGATTTTTGGCAAAGGTTTTCAACGGATCTGAATCACAGCCGGGAGCTGCAGGTGGTATGATTGAACACGACTTGAGCTTTGTGCAGGACACAATCAAGAGCAGCAATTTTCGAGACAATCCTACGACATTGGATAATGTTTCGCTTCCGTGGAAGTAGCGAAGATCAATGTCGAAGTCGATTTAATTCTTGCACTGGGTGACAACTTCGAAAGCGTGTATTAATGATCTATGGCTAAAGTACTAGTATGTTTCTCTTCCAGGTTCAAGCAACACTTTGTATATACAATCCTCCACCTGCCAGTACATGTATGAACAGCGCAGTCAGTGGAATGTCTACTCCAAGCACACTCTCTTCGGAGCATCCAATTGATTCCAGTACTATTAGCAGTAGTACTAGTATCTCACTGAGGTGAAGATCAGGCGGAGCTGGCTCATAACTGAGGGACTACTCGTATATTTCAAGGGCCCAACAAGCCCAACCCGCTGAAAGCCCTAATTTAATCCGTAGACCTACTTGTAGACGAAATGAATCTCGCCTATAAAACCTAAAAGTCAATTAAAATTAAAAATTAAAATTAAAAGAAAAGTAGACCCACGAGTGAAGTCAAATGGCCACACGTGACTCCCCGTGTTTGAAGCAAAAAAAAGAAAAGAAAACTCTGAGACATCCCCATCGGACATCAAACATCTTCCGGCACGGTTCTCACCCTCAGGATTCGAGTCTTTTTTTGGAAAGCAAAAGTGCCAAGTTCCTAATTCTCGGCACCTCCTTGAAACGAATCGGTCACCCTTGATGGATTCGCCCAATGCCATGTCCGCCCCCTCTGCAGCCAAGACTGACCAAGACATCGTCCCGCCCAGCATGGACTCCAAGCAAGCTGTGATCAACCAGGACGATCGCGAATTGCTAGATCTTGGCTACAAGGCTGTTTTGGCGCGCGGATGGGGCTCCTTCGACAATTTCGCGTGCTCATTCTCCGCGTTATACTGCATTGGCGGAATTCGCGTGTCGTTCTACATCGCGCTCAGCGCCGGTGGACCTGCAGCAATGTATGTAGACTCCATTCGCACTGCATGATATCCCCTGCAGAACCTGTGGTCAGTAGCTAACTATATCTGTTACAGGTGGAGCTCTTGGCTTTCCGGTAGCATTCTCGCAATCATCACCGCCGCATGTCTCGCCGAGGCTTGCTCCGCATACCCCGCCGCAGGATCGATCTACTACTGGGCATTCCGATCGTGGGGTGGTGGACAACTTGGTCGCTTCGTATCATTCCTTGTCGCGGCATGGACGCTTGTCGCCTGGACAGCTTTTCTGGCGAGTGATTCTTTTGGAGTTGCCAATTACTTGGTTTCCGAGGTCCTGGTCTTTGATCCAGAGACGACTTTCCCGACTGATGCCTCCGATGTGCGCGCGAGAGCCGTCGCTTGGGCATTCTCTTTGCTGTTCTTGGCGATCGCGACATCGCTGAACTTCCTGCCTTCGCGCATGTACTCTTGGGTATTCCGGGCCGGAGTCATCGTCATCATCATTGATATGCTGCTCAACTTTATCTGGCTTCCCATCGGTGTGGCCAAGACATACGGATTTCAAACTGCCGAGTATGTCTTCACGTCTACCTATAACGGCGGCGAGACAACTCCCGGTCTCAACTGGGTCCTATCCTGGTATCTTGTCTCGAGTTGTCTGGTTGGACAAGATGCGTCCGGTCACGTCGCTGAAGAGACTATCTCGGCGAAGAAGGCAGCTGCTCAGGGTGTGTTCTGGGCGACCGTCGCATCTGCTGTGTGTGGTTTCCCGATTATCATTCTGTTCCTATTCTGCATGCCCTCCATCGAGACCTTTTACGACACCAGCGCACCCCAGCCATTCATCAACATGTACGCCCTTGCATTGGGACCTCGGGCACATGTGGTTATGACAATCATCTCCATGATCGGCGCAATCCTCAACACTTCCATTTCCTTGGTGGCGGTGTCGCGACTTGTCTTTGCCGTGGCTCGCGATGGCGTCTTCCCATTCAGCGATATTCTCTCGCGAGTGTCCAAGTCTAAGCAGCCGCACAATGCCGTGATTTTCATTTCGACGATTGCCGCGCTTCTTCTGTGCACCCAATTGCCCTCCCAGGTCGCGTTCTCCAGTCTTGTCTCCACTTCGGCGGCAGGTTCCATCGCAGCATATGGCCTAGTCGGTATCGGTCGTACTTTCATCACTCGCAAGTCTTTCCGACCTGGGTTCTGGGATCTGGGCTGGTTTGGCGTTGTCGCTGCTGTCGTCACATTCATCTGGAACGGATTCTCCTTTGCGGTCCTCTGCGCACCTCAGTACTCCAACAGCGCCATTGATGGCGACTCCAGCCTGTTCAACTATGCGATCGTCATAATGGGAGGCGTCACTATCATTGCGCTACTAGAGTGGTGGCGCAAGTCCAAGTCCGATTGGTTCCAGCACCTTGAGTCTGGCGCCACGACATCCACGGCTGATGGCTCAGCGACCCCGGAGAGAAAAACCGAACCAGCCTCTGAAGCTATGGCTGTTTAGTCTGTTGTCAAAGGCTCGGTTACTCTCTCGGCACATTTTGATATGGTCACAATATCAATTAATCTCACGGTAAGGTATGGCTTGGATTTTGGTTTCCTAGCCGGAGGCCAGGGTAAGTGAAGGATTAGACCTAGAAACACGCATGACGGGTGTTCGAGGGCCGACTCGAAGGAGTGGCCTCGTTCTGAGATATTACCGTTAAAACTTGATCTGGACAATACCAGCGAAAGGACATGCCTGTTTTACTTTCCCCCTGTTCTCTATTTTGGTCGTTGCATCCGCGCCGTGGGTAATGGGTCACCAACCCCCTCTACCTGCGGGGTGGATGCTACTAACGGCTCGGTCTCTGTAGACGCGGTTTACAGCTCGGTGGCCTTGTCAACTTGTCAAAGACATACCAGGGCTATCCATTCTCTTGCGATGCCAGCTGGTCCCATTGAGAATGTACGGATCGAAGGATCAGCCGATCATTGGACGCAGCAGGACGGACCACTATCTCAATTGTGAAGTCTGTCCGGCCTAGCTCCCCATTCCCGGTGGCAAGGTTCATCAGAGATATCTCCTGTTGAAACCTCTGATCACTGGGGATCGATCAATCCTGGTCTTTATGTCCGTGCATGTCTTGGTGATAAAAGGCACCCAGCAAACAAGTAAGCCGCGCTTCGTAGCCTTGTAGATATCAATCGTAGAGATAAGAGCAAATATAATGGTATGATGTTTTTGACCCGGCATATCTATAGAGGCTTCAATCGCTTCCGGGATGTAGCCGATCCAAGCGTTTTCATAGGCTCGTAAAGTACCACATTTAGAGAATTGGAGCCTCGTTCTAATTGATACATCTAGTATCCAGATCAATGAAGTATGTGCTTCGATGTGAATGATACGCCAAGGCAGCGATCGTATGGTATTGTCGTGGTGTGCTGGGTGCTTGCCCGCCGAGCCACAGGCACAACATGGAAGGTGCCTTCCCTTTCCACGCACATCCGCCATAACTTTTCTTCCATTACGTTCAAGTTACTCTTCACATCTCTTTCTCTCTCTCTCTCTTTTCTCTCTCGCTCTCTCCAAACTCCATTCCCTCCCGGAAAGTTGACCAAAGAATCTTATGCCAATCGAGAGCCTCTTTCCTCGTTGACCAGCTATCATGGTCATTTCGAACACATTCATGGTTTGTCTGTGATCTTCTGTGAGTCTCCCCCTAGTTTCCATCTGTGCCACGCTCTTCTATTTCCGGAATCGGTATGGATCGATATCGATCAACTTGAACTAGTAGGGAAATGAATAGTCTGATGCTGCTAGTTTTTTTGCGGGCGAACCCCGAGGGCCATATTAGGTACTCAATTGAAAATGTGCCAGCAAGGACCGATAAATTACACCGAAGAGAATATGTACTCGTAAAAGAGAAAACCAGACAAATCCACCACCCAATTGAAAGCAAACGCTACATATACGCGTGATTTGAAGGGGAAATAAAACGAGCCTCCAACTCTGGCCACAAGAGCCATTTCGTTGCTAAACCAAAAAAGCAGCTCCAACTCAGGATTTAATGAACTCGAAGTTCTTCGGCAACGGCGTACCCTCTCTGTAAAACAATGGATTAGTATTCATCATGACAACTTTGCAAAGGGGTTGCATACCTTTCACACGCCCTCTTGAGATTTCTCGCCCTATCCTTCAAATTAACCTGGGTCCGACCTTGTAATTTTGGACCCCCTTCCGACCTCGGACAAATGTCGTCTTGCGCCTTGATCTGTGCCCAGGCGCTGCCATGTCGACCAATAAGTTGAATGAGGCGTTCGTTTTCATCTGCCGTCCATCTTCTTCTCATGTTCGCAGCTGTAATTGTAGCCGACGAGGGATCGTTTGCCTGGCTCCAGCGAGACTGGCTCGGTGGTGGGTTCACAGCTTCGCTTCGGGCACGGGCAATTCGAGAAGACTCAGGTTCGGGTGATTGGACTTGTGTGGATGCTGGCTGCCTCGACGTTTTTCTCTGGGTCTGGTTGGTATCACGGGTGGCTCTCAAGTCATCGTGGAGCTGATCTGCCGCGCTAGAATCCTCATCCGTGGTGTTTATACGCTGTCTCTTGTTGGATATTTCGAGAAGTTTGCTGGCTCCATTGGAGACCAAAACCATCTTGGACTCGGGTGGGTCAAACGCATCATCAGAATCATCATTGTCAGAGTCATTCTCTACCTCGTCGTGTCGCCTCTTCGCTGTCTCTTGTTTTGCCGGGCTTTTTTGAGACATACGCTTTTCGGTAAGCTGGCTCTCATCTTCGGAGGAAAAGTTGATTCGTGTGCGGTGTTCTTGCTGGTCGAGAAGTGTACGTCGTTGCTGTGGCTCATTGATTGACGTGAATTGGTTCCGCGGTGAGGAGTCGAACCAGCGGCCCCGGTTGTAGTTTTGACGAGCCCGCTCGGAACCAGGGGGGCTGGTTGATTGCATGAGCTCGTAACGTCTGTAACTGCCCAGGTCCAGCTCCTCGCCGTCGTTGAGGAGGGTGTCATCGTTATCATGAGGTGGATATTGCATATCCTCGTCGGGTGTTTGGGCGATCTCCCGAGGCATAGTGACACCATGAGGGTTTCGAATAACCTCGCCAGGGGAAGGCAACGATGCATCGCTCAGGTTTGGCGGTTGAGAGCTCGCTTCTGGCACGGTCATGTCTGAGAAAAAGCCAGTCGTATCCCCTTCCGGTCCTTTGGCCGTTTCTTGCTGTTGGCGCGCTTCCCGGCGCCTCTTGAGGAAATCCATATTCCGAGCGAGGTCGTTGCTAGAGCAAAGTCAGTCATGGGTACAACTTTGGATTTGGGTATTCAACATACTGCTTGGATGATTGTCGTCTGTGTGTGCTCTTGGGCGTCGGTTGCTTAGCTGGACTGATTGGGGTACTGTGTTCGATGGACTCCTGGGAGATCTGCTGGGGTGGAGGAGGAGGAGACATAGGAACGAAAAGTTCGTTGTCAGAGAGATCATCCTGATTGCTGCGTTGATGTTCCACGTTAGGGGGAGTAGCGATCCGCCGTGCTTCGGCTGGGCGTCTGTTCCTTCTCAAGCTCGTCCTCCTCAGCACTCTCCCCGCCTTCAATCATCTTCTCGACGTAGTCCTTGACATCTTCAAGTTTTGGCTGGAACTCCAAGTCCCGTCGAAGTTCTTTGTCACGACTTTGAACAAAGCGAGCGGTGCACACGAGGAATCGGCTCCAGAAACCGGCTTTGAGGCCTTTGATGTTAGGATTTCCATCATCATCGTGCAGAGAATAATCCAGCTCGCTGAAACGATCACTGACTCTGTCCTGGAATCGGTCTGGAAGACGACCATTCTCGTCTGCGAAAGTCCCCGGGAGATTGAAACCACGCAGAGAGCCAGTGTCCGAGGTATACCCATCGCCGTAAAACACGTTCTCCAAGACAGAACGGGCATCAAACCCTTTTCTCTTTTCCTGCTTTTCTAGTTGCACGAGTGCAAATTGTGTTCGAATCTCCAGGGCCATTTCAAAGGTTGGTCCTGCGGCAGTGCTACCTCCGATCGGAATAGACTCCTTGCCGTTGACTATTCGGCTCAAGAAGGGCGCGGGGAACTGGCTCTCGAGAGTTTCAATCGTCTCGCTAAGAGACTTTGAGTCTGTACTTTCCAGGAGTATGTCTAGGGCAAGACGGGCACAATTGGCCCTGTGCAGGGCAGGCGATGGACTCCATGGCCGAGCCGCACCTTTCGGCTGCACGATTGGAATGAGCTCCTGGGCCTCGGTGACATCGATAAAACGCTCAGAGCCAAAAGGTTTCATCTGGGAGAGTAATTTGCGGATTGCTGGTTTCAGGCGCTTGTTTTCAGTGTTTCGTGGATTGGCGAGCTTTTTAGCAGCGTCAACAACCGGTCTGGCATCAGGGGCGTTGGTTTTGAGGAGACTTAAGAGGCGATCCGAGGCTTCTTGCAATCCCGGGAGCTCATCAATCATAATAATGGGCTCGAGGTCAGCATCTTCGGGGTCGGAGTCCTCTTGAGGTAAGAATGTCGTGCCGGAGATATTACCTTCGGGTGACTCGGGGACAATAGAAGTGCCGCTCGCGAAATTTGATTTTCGGTGAGCTTTAGCAGGTGAGTTCTCGGCCACGGTACTCAGGCCTAGAAATGTTAGATATATTCATATTTGTGGAATGTCTCAGGAGGATGGTAGCGTGAAGAACCAAATCGGCAGGGGAGTATAGTAAACAAGCAGGATAGCAAAGCGGGGGCCCGGGGGCGTAATCGGGGGTACATAAAGGCAAATATGGATTGTCAGGGCATGGTACTCACGGTCGGTACTGCCAGTTCCCTTTCCAGGAGCCGGATTCCATCTTGTAGATCGATCATGAGCTGGGTCGTCGAGCTCACGACTCTGGCTCCTCGTGACCCGGCCAGGCTGGGGGGGCTCCCCCTGCGATGCGCGCCATCCCGAGGGCGGTGGGCCCAGCGCGTCCGATAAACAATCACCAGATGCAGCGGTGCCACTGAGTGTGGGGTAAGAAAATGTTGCGAAATAGACGTGTCGGACAAATGACTGGTTTTGAGGAATTATTTTGGATGAGAAATGATGCGAAAAGGTGAGGGGGTGATGAAGTTTAAGGCTTGGAGTGTCGCGATGAGGGTTTTCGGGGCAGCGAAGTCTTCGGCGCCGGATTATCGTATTGTTCCGGGTTGCCAGCCAGTATAGAAAAAGACGAATTATGACATCTCAGTCACCAATAGGGGGATATCAGTATTAATAGAGAGTCGAGGGGGGCTCTGTATTCCTGTATTTCTTTATTCCTTTTTTTCCCAGAGATTTTCCCAAAGCGTACGTATGGGTCGCCCGATTAGGGATGAGGGTTTAGGGACGAGGGTTTAGGGTTTTGCCTGAATATTCTGGCAGCGAAGTGGGAAGTCAATCTTGCAAGTTGAATTTCCCGGGATTTATACTCGAAATAAAAAGTAGTTCATGGTACCCCGATATAACTCGAAGTACTCGATTTACTGGTACCATTGCTCTTTAGAACTTGAAGCTTGGAACCTCAGTATCGAATCACACACTTGTGTTGGTGCCTTGATGCCTTGTATTCTATGCCAACTTGGAACTTGAAGGTATGCACGAATCGAAACACACAACTCTAATCCAGTATTGGACATCTCGGTCATGGTAAATTATATCATTAATAAAAATATGTCACAGAACGTCAAATGATGACTTTTACACCTATGCAAGCCCCCCAAATACCCAACAAAAGTACAACCGCCCAGATGATTTTCAGAAAATGCCTTCAATGAGATAGATGACGCCGAATACAAGGAATGCCGCGGCACCGCCGAGGGTAACTGCAAATTAAAGATATTAGTATTGAAGCGGAAACAGAGATAAAGAAGTGAAAAGAGTGACATACCAACACGCATGCTGACACGACCCGCAATCGCACGACCACCGATAACAGCGGCGGCTGTGCAGATACCGTGTCCGGTGATAGCACCAATTGTTACCCACCAGTAGTCCTGGCCGGCGGCCATGGCGATGGTGGCGATCTGACTACGATCACCCCATTCACCGAGGAAAGTCATAACAAAAGTTTGAACCCATGCGGGGCTAAGAAGAAGAGATAGAAGGTTGCTGACGCCTGACATGCACTCCTGTAGGCGAGGCTGAGGGGATGAGCCACGAGACGAGGATGAGGAGACGCTCTCTGGGGGCGAAGGCAGACGGTTTCCACGAGACTTGGGACGACCACCAGCGCGACCGGCTTCCAAGTTGTGGGGGGTGACGGAGGAGCGGCGACGACCCATACGGATCTGCTCCTGTTCTTTCTCTTCCAGCTCCTGTTCCACCTCCCGCATTTCCTCGCCGACGCCCTCGTCAGGGGACATCTCGCGGCCTTCCTTGAACATCTTCGCGCCGAAAACCAGGAAGAGGATGGCTGCCATGAACTTGGTGACGGACTTGGGAATCAATGTGGGGACAGCGTGGCCGAGGACAGCGGAGAGAATGGTCATGGCGATGAGAGCGGAGAATGCGGAGGTGAAAACGACCAGACGGGGGTGGCGCATAGCCATCAGCGCGGCGACCAGGAAGGTCTTGTCTCCAATTTCAGAAACGATGATCATGGTGAACGCGAATAGAAGCGAGTGGAGTCCATCGCTCTCCTCCGCAATGCCGGTGTTCTTGTCGTATGTCGTTGACGAGCTAGCGTGCGAGCCCGATCCGTGCTCAATGGCCAACGGATCATTGTTGACTTGAGAGGGGGGCTTGGGGTGAGGGATATCGTGGGGCTTGTTGGGTAGATCGGCCGGTTTCTAGATAATAATTGTCAGTTATAGGTAAAGCAACGGAGTGGATAGGTATTCCGTACCTCGAGCATCCCAAGGGTGCCAGCTTCATCGGCTGTGCGGCCACCACTTCCAGATGTGCTGTCACTGTCCGATGAGAACTTCTGCTTCTCACTGTGCGGCAGTGGAGGGGCCTCTTTGGGGCTTCCGGGCACTTTCTCCGCATACTGGTTCTCTTTTCCCTTCAGCGATACGCCACCCTCAGTGCCTCGTGTGCCCTCCTTTGGTCCCGTTCGATTCGGGTCATCCATGACGCCGCCATTGGAATGCGGGATCACTTTTCCACCATCGGTGCTAAGGTGATCTGAAGAAGGGATCTTCGTATCAGGTCTGGAGGGTGCAAGTTCGTAATCATCACTTCCGACAATAGTGTTCCCGGTGATCTTGCGGTCGCGTTCTGCGCCAGTCTCTACCCACGGGCCCGCGTGTGGTTTGCCATCCTTCCCATCTACAGGGGCGTCCGATGATCCCTTGACGGCATTGCCTGAGGCATAAGAATCGGAGTCGGCGTAGCGAGCATCAAGTCCTGAGGAGCCATACGAGGCACGAACGGTCGGTTGGGCGTTTGGCTTGACGTCTGCCAAGGCAGTCGAAATGGCGGGGAGGAGAAAGAGAAGGAAAGGCGAAGATATGTTCAGCTTCATGATGCAGGGCGGAAATTACCGCGAAATGAGCGACGAGAGGGCGATTGCGACCGGAGGCCTTGAGAAGGACAAGTTGTAGGATGGTGCAAAGACAATCAATGCCGAGTCGGTTTTCAACGATGGCACGGGTTCGAAAAGAAGGAAATCGTAGAATGAGGCGAAAGCCAAAAAATAAAAATAAAAATCAATATTAAGACAGATCTATGGGGATCGGACGCGAGAGAATGAAAATGAACGATTGAATGTTTTGAGGCCGCAATTGCAACTCGCCTGCAAAGGGGTCGATGCACGTGACCCTTCAAGGCAGCCGGAAGCGGTGGACACAAGGCTGACTACAATACTATCCTGGAAGAGTAGATACTAGAATAGTATTGATCATTGGAATTCCTGGAAATTTCAAGTTAGACTCAATATTCATTCCCCTGCATGAGATTATGCACAACAGTAGTCTTCGTGAGACTGATGTGCTACCAAAGTGTTCCCAGGTTATGTGTGCCCTACCAATTGAAAGATATACTTCCATGTCAAGCTAAGCCAATCATCATGACTCGGAGATGTTGATTACCTACTACTTCACAATATTTTGATCTGACTCTGTACCCTGTTAAAAGGCTAATAGCACTAGAGTACTACTAAACATCTGCGTGAACAAAAAATAGAAATCATACCGTATCCTCGTGTGACGAATCACGGGTTTGTACTAGCCCTGGATTGGCAGCCTGAGGCACCAAACTGTAGTATCTTGTCCTCTCTCGTTTGCACGTACTCTCTTCGTCTCTCTCCCCCCCCTTAGTATTTTTGTTCAATGCTAATGGAATTTATTTCCAGATATTTGAGGACTAAGAATGTTGGAAGATGCCAGTGGCATAGCTATCCCATTATTGACCAGTTGTCGACAGATCGGGAACTTGATCTTCCACTACGATCAACTTACTACAGAGAACCTGAAGGCACAAAAGGGAGGCAAAGGATGATTGTATAGCAGATATCTAGGTATGAACCCATAAAATGGTTTAGATTGTTTCAAATGACACAACTGAATCCTCTTACTATGCCAAGGGAAGGAGAGCTAGTATAACACCTCACAGTTTGGGGCCGAAGGAACCCCCAGACCCGCTCAAAGCGACAAAAAAAAGTCCATGATGTATGCCAATTTGACCACCCACTGAGTAAAGCGAATAGGGCACATGTATTGAACTATTCGGTGGACAAGGCTGATATGATTGCTGTGCAGAGCCAGCTTTAGCTCCGAATTTCATATGGCCCCAACTCAGGAACCACTCTGCATCGGGCCAAAACACATCAATTTCTGGGCTTCTAAATGAAGTCTCAAGGGGCGGTTTTTAAAAGTCTCTCCGTATTAGCCCATCAAAGAAGAACTAGGACATTTCATACCAATTTCGGGGTAAGATCAGTAGCGACGCGGTGCAAAAATAGCACGGCCCCCACTCGTTTATCGGGGCCAGAGGGCGCCACCAATTGGCCCCAATGCCAGGGCCACCTGGACATCAGAGCATCGTATATGATGAAGAGTGCGAAGCCAAGGTTAATATTGCTCAAATCAAAGTAGGCCAAGCCCCGAGAGGTACATACACCGGGGCCAAACCCAATGATGGCGCATTCCATGCGACCAGACTATCGTTATTGCGATGCGAATTTGGGAATAGCGCCGTCAACCCTGCCTTGGGGCCGAGAGGAATTGGACCCAGATAGGAAGCTATATAAGTGAGAGGAATTTCACAGTTTTCTTCAGTTTTATTGCTTACTTTTGTCAACCACATCCGAGCGAGCTGGTCTCTGTTAACTACTAGTAGAACTTTCGTCCAAGTGACGCTGGCTGTTCAAAAGTTCTCTTAATTGCATACCCCAAATCAAATCCAATCTATATCGTTGGCATTATGGTTATGTTGAAGAGCTTGCTATACTCAGCGGCCCTTCTTGCTTCGGTGCAAGGAGTCGCCGCAAGCGTGCTCAAGGATGGAACGAAAATGGTCGCAACCTACTGGGGTAAGCTACAATTACCACGACCAGAAAGGTGATATCAACTGACTTTTTTTAGACGGTAGTGGTAGCTTATCTTCTTTCTGTTCGAGTAAGTCTATAGGATTTCATACATGACAGTCAGTTCGCTAACTCTTCTATAGATGCGGATATTGATGTATGTCTACTCCCTTCCAAGCTTGAAGCAAGCCAGGTAAAATCTAACGAATGTAGATCTTCCAATTGTCATTCGTCACCTCCCTGAAGGGCACGCCAGATGTATCATTTGGATACCCAGTTACCGGGTAAGCTGCCCTGTCATCCTCCTGCCAATTCAAATTTCTCATGGTATTTTCAGCCCCGAAATTAAGCAATGCCAGGACCAAGGCAAAACCATCCTGCTGTCCTTTGGCGGAGAAACCTACCAAGAAGGCGGATGGGATACCCCCGAAGAAGCCCAGAATATGGCCCAAAAGGTGTGGGACATGTACGGACCTGGCGGTGCAACCTACTTTGGCGGTAACGCAGTCAACGGATTCGACTTTGATTTCGAGATGGCGATGAATAATCTGCTTCCATTCACGGAGAAGCTCAATGAGCTTAAACGAGGTCACCCTCACTTCCTCCTAACAGCTGCACCTCAGTGCCAATACCCGGATCAGAATCTTGCCAGCATTCTAACGGATCATTTGGGCTGGTTCGATGCACTTTTTGTGCAATTCTACAACAATCCAGAATGTGGAATCCCTGGTGGCTACGGTCGCCGATCTACTGAAGAACCTTCAAGTGGTCTATCGGGTGGCCCTTCGGCTCGTCGGTCTCATCTTGCGAAACGTGAATTCAACTTGGGTACATGGCTTGAACAGGCTAGCCAGGCCACTCCCAAATCGCCAAAGATCTTCGTGGGTGTCCCCGGGAGTGCGGCAGGTACCCCATCAGCCAATATGGGCTATGTAGTTCCGTCTCTCCTCCAGACGGCTCTGCTACCTTTCATAGGGCATGCGAATATGGGAGGCGTCTCTGTTTGGGAAGTCGGTTACGCTACCAGTAATGGTGATTTTCTTCCGCAACTTCGTGGAATCTTGGGGTTATAATTGATGACTCGACAACCGAAGGGCAATTAAGCCCAAGCATATACTTGGAGTTAATATATTCGGAAGATCTGTTTGACGTCTTATAGTCGCTCCGAGGAAGTCTTGTAGCAACCTTAACAGTAATCACTCAGCGGAGGTCGACAGCGCGTAGTCGGCCAGGACGCGTAGGACGCGTCAAGGCTGCCGACCGAAGGGTTTGCGCAGTTGTTAGAGAGCAATGTCAAATGTCATCGGCATTGTCCATAATTTCAAGACTCGCAGCAAAATCGCGAAGAGATAGGGCTTTAGACTCTTGCTTTCCTTCACCTTTGCCGTTTCATAAATATCGTGAATGTGATTCGTGATAATCAGTGCGGCGGAGTGGGAGGGCAGTATTCTTGATTGGAGGCGAGGGAATAAACTTGAACCTCCATGGACCATGGCAGCTACAGAAATATCAAAGATATGACATCTTCTTCAAATTGTGCATCGTCTCAAGCTTCACCTTTTGATTTTGAGAGTATCATTGCTTGCTATCATTGACGTATACTAACTAGAACAATGTTTATGGCCTAGGGACCTGAAGGTCGTACACCATTATTACCTGCCCAATGGATGCAGTGTCTTACTATTCCCGCTTAACTTAGAAGATCTGGGATGACAACGCCTGGGCAGCTCCCCAATTCCTACAACTTGGCCTTTTCCTCGGTATCCAGTTCTCGTCTAGCTGGTCCTCCGCGGCTGCCATCGCCCAGAAAAGTGTCGGTCTGCGATGCGTACTCTTTTCGGAATCGCCATTTCTCCGCAAGCTGCTCAGGCAGGTTCTTCTTCAGAGCAAGTGACATGTATTTTCCAAGTACGGGAAGGAATTTGAATGCACTGCAACGGGATTATTAGCAGGTCCTATTGCAAAGGATTTGAAATAACATACTGTCCACTGCCGGCTCCTCCGACAAAGAGGTTGGCATAGTCTGGATGATAGTCCATGATGAAGTTGCCACTCGGGGTGTCAGTGTACCAGCATAGTGCAAGCTTATCGAATGGCCTGTCAGCCAGCTCTGGGAGAATCTCGCGGAGACCCTCTCGTAAACGGGTCTCACCGTCCTGCGGGACGAAATTTCGTCGTTCTCGAGGGGGGATGAGTGGCGGAGAGGAAATATTGGACTGAATGGCAGTAATATCCTCTTGTCTAGGGGTACGTGTGTATCCCCATCCATGAATTGCCATCTTGAGCATACCGGTATCTCGGTGAGGAGGGAAATTAAACCATCCGGTGGAGAAGTTTGCATAGATTGGGAGATTTTTGTACTTCCGAATCTCTTCTGGGGTTAGTTTGACATATCCGATGACGTGACCTGTTGACAAGACGGAATTGTACATGGGAACCAGGCCCGAAGTCCAGGCTCCGGTCGACAATATGAAATGATCACCCGCGACTCGGTTACCATCAAGTGTCAAGGCTGCTTTGATGCTTTTCTGGGAATCAGTTTCGAAGTCAATCACGGTTCCACTCCGACCGGCGATTAAGGAAACACCAAGTTCGAAGCAGTCATCCCGAAGCTGGGTAACCGCTTTGGCGGCATCGGCCCACCCAGCCTGTTGATTATGGTAACCAAAAAACCCCGGCGTCGCAAGCTCTCCTGAGAGCACAGGGAATTCCTTTCTCGCCGCCGCAGCATCTTTAAGCTTTGTCCATGGCAGATTCTTCTTAGTGAGTGCAGACGTCGTCTTGGTAATCCAGTCTTGTCCATACGGACTAGTCTTGCCGACCAGGATGTATCGAGCGCGTTCGAAAATGCCTTGGTATTTAGCATCGTCCCGCCACTTCACATAGGCCTCGTAGGCGAGTCCAAGGTAGTCTTCATCGGCGTAGTCGAAACGAACGACACGGGAGATGTCAGAGCTAGATCCATCCGGTACCTGATGATGAGCCACCTTCAGTCTTATAGAACAATGAAATTGAAGGGCTTGACTCACTGGTGGCATGTGTCGGTCGAGAACAACGATGTTTCGGTGACCTTCAGAAGCAAGCTGATAGGCTGTAGAGAGCCCAAATATTCCGGCCCCGATTATGACAATCTTGGCGTTCTTCTCCATTTCGTCTGCGTGATGATGCCAATGTTAATTATAAAAGACAATACTTGAAGTAGATCAACAAATGTTCCGAACTATAAGAATATTTGCAAAATAAGGGACATGGACCCCGCATTATCAAATTTGTATTCACGACCCCGCTCAATTTATCAACGGATGCTTCCTGATATCCCCGTTCACGTGGTCGGGGAATAGTCTAAGCTTTCCGTCTCATCTACTACGCTCACGGCATTCCCTTATCGGGATAGGGCCGATACAACCTAGGACCTCCATAGTCAGAGTAGTTGCTGTAAATTGAAGGATCTCTTTATGATCAACAACTTGAATGAGTACAACTGAATGTAGAAAAATTACTATGATCAGATCATTACTGCAGTCACGTTTTTGGTAGACTCATTGTTACTCTACAGCAAGCCTACCGATGTCTAGCGCACCGACCGGTCCATGTCTTGATTATGACAGGAACACTACATGAGCGTGCAATATCTCACTATACAGTGCGATAGTTGGCTTCCCGTCACTTTAAAAGGGGCTGGGGAACTGCACATTTCTTTCTTGATTGTGTGGTAGTAATTTTGGTGGATCAAGTTGTCGCCCCCCTTCTCAAGATCACCCTCATATTTCTCAATAGTAGATTTCGACCCTTTCGCAACCCTTACTGGATTTAGTCGAGAGGAATTCACAGGGAAAGCTTGCTATCTCTCTTCGGCCAATAATAAGGTCTTTGAGAAGTGGGCATGTCATTGAGATCGCTGTTACTCGGTCGATCATGTAAAATTGGCTGGGGGCGCCGAGGGAATTCAAAATGTCTTTATTGGGGCCGATGAAGCATGCGAAGATGATGTTTTTATGTGGGCGTATCTTTGATTCTAAGGGATGGCAGTGGTCTCCGAGAGCCTGGTCTCCGAGATCAGGATAAAAGTAGTTCAACATGAAACGTGGCCCCCAATGCGATTCGTCATCTCTTTTTGATTACTAGCAGTAGGAAGGAGTAGTAGCTACTACGGAGTATACATAAATCAGAGGACGATCGGGGCCGCCCCAGACCATTCAAAAGGGTCAAAATTACGGTTGCCAAGGACAGACTACTGGTCAGTTAATACTTGACGCTACGAAGTATAATGCAAGTCGTTAGAAATTCAATATTGCGTCTCAAAACAATAGTTTTTTATTTTTCACACTGCTGATTGTTATTGTTGTCAAAAACAGCCTCATGTGTTGCGAATACCGGCCCCCATAATAGCCCCTTGGGGCCGTGAGAATGGCCCCCAATCGCAGGTTGATCAAGCAGCCCTGAATGACGATACTTACTTGTAAGGGCAACTCGAAAAACGCCATCGCCACATCTATTGAATCCAATGGCGATCCTTCAATCATCTTAGCTCCACGTGCTATCATCTTAGGGTCCTGAGTTTTCAGAGTACGGCAGGTCTAATAGTATAAAGAGCACATCAAGCTCCCCTTCATCTTTCTAGGAATCTAAATTTACGAAAATTTGAAAGTCCACCTATAAAGACAAATTATTACTTTTGATACATTCCAATATCTTCAGCCTTTCTTTCGCAACGTCAACATGCGCTTCACAGGGCTCGTTGCTTTGAGTATGGCTGGTTTAGCCACAGCCGTGCCTGTTTACGTGAACCCCAACTCGCCAATGTCTAGGCCCGTCGAGAATGGTCACAATGGCCCGGGCTACAGAATCTTGTATGCCCAGTCAGCTGGACGCGGAAGCCTTACAACACCTACACCAACTCCTATCCTACCTACCGCCACTGGCACACCGCGAGATACACCTAGTGCGACAGCAACTGGCCAGCCTGGTGGTCTATCCCAGAAGGAAACGAAATTCCATGAAGATTTTGAGCATTGGGTGAACCTACCTCACGGGGCTGAAAAAGAAAGAGAGCAGTGGGGAAAGAATTTGCTCAAGGACCTGGAGAACCTTGCAAATCAAGGCGAGCAAACATCGACGGTCACCTCGCCAACTGTTCCCCAAAGAGGCCCACGCCTGAGGCCCACGCCTTCTTCCAGTGCCACACCTTCTTCAAGCCCCAAACCTTCTCCCAAATCACCAGTCGTGCAATTTTCCCACGCATAAAGCTACCGGAGAAGCTTTAATGTCGACTAAAGACGCATTTAAGGCTGCTTAGTGTGGTGGTGGGATTGCCCCTTTGTCAGGTTTTCCTCTGACTGGTAACGTTGTGCAGGGGAACTGCAACCACATATGCTTCTCTTGCATAAGGAAATGGCTATTTTCTTCTACGAAAGCAATTTGAATTGAAAAGAAGAACAAATTAAAACATTTCCTGGTTAATAGATGTCTTCATTTTGTTTAATTGAACGTTCTCATTACTCTTCAAATAATGTCGTAGATAGTCTCGAAAACTATTTGCAGATAGCAATGGAAATAGAAAGAAAACCCGTTTGGATGTCATACAATAGACGGTTATTATACTAGAATGTTTCATCTCCTAGCTAGTAGTCTCAAATTACCTTCTCGTTGAGGGGATGATAACTAATCAACAGGAATATTTTGTATTGACCTCTCACTGCTTCTCTAAGAAGACCACTTTGCTCCCATAGTCTGTGGCGATAGGGAACTGCAAGCCAATCTTCATCAAGACTGAGCCGGAGTATGTGGAATTTCCATCGACCCTGTAAGTAGCCTTCGGGTCTAGGCCCTGCATCTTAATCCACGGAATAGCGTGGTTGATGTTGGGATTGATCTGGAAGTAAAAAAGCACAGCTTTGTTGCCATCCTCGGAAATGAAGAGGACAGCTGGCCAGTTAGACTCTTCCGGGAGACTGAGTCGGTACATATCACCCGTCAAAATGATAGGGTTGACCTTCTCAGCAAGTTCAATCAGTGCAGGGAGAGCAGCCTTATCATCCTCTGGCATATCAGAAGGATCAAGTTCCAGACCAAATGATCCACCCATCATTGCCACATGCCCACGGAAGTCTACAGGCAAGGTGCGGCCCGTTTGCTGGTTCGGGACGGCTGATAGGTGGGCACCCATAGCGCTAGGTGGATACGCAAGTGAGGTACCCATCTGGATAGTGATGCGCTCCACTGCATCTGTATCATCTGATGTCCAGATTTGAGGGAAGTATTGTAGAACACCAGGGTCGAAACGACCACCACCAGAAGCACACCCTTCCCAAAGAACATCTGGGAATCGAGTAGTCAACACATCGAATACCCGGTACATTCCCAGCATATATTCGTGGTCTGTCGATGGGGAGGGTGTTTCATGAATTCCCCTGTTGTTGTCCCATTTGACATAGCTGATATCGGAGCTGTTCAAGATATTTGACACGGCATCAATGATAAAGTCTTGGACCTCTGGGAGCGCAACGTTCAAGACAAGCTGGTTACGCGTCAAAGTGCGAGGGTAGGATCCTGCGTGTAGAGCCCATTCAGGGTGCTCATGATAAAGAGTAGAATTGGGATTCACCATCTCAGGCTCGAACCAAAGACCAAAGCGCAGATTAGTGGAAGTATTTGCAGCTTTGAGGGCTGTGATACTATTCACTGCATGAGACAAGCCGTCCGGGAACCTCTCAGGGTTAGGAATCCAGTCACCTAGGCCGGCATCATCCGAGGTTCGAGGGTACTTGTCACCGAACCAACCATCATCCAGAACAAAAAGTTTGATACCAAGCGCAGCAGACTCCTTGGCAAGCTGGTAGATGGTGGACTCATTGAAGGTGGCTCCTAGCCCCTCCCAACTGTTCAAGAGAGCAGGTCTATCTGCCGTTGCGAATTTGCTCTTAATGAGATTTTTCCGGTAAAGATTATGGAGCGAGCGGGACATCCCACCAACTCCATTTTCCGAGTAGACAGCAACACACTCCGGGGAGGTGAGAGATTCGCCGGGTCCCAATGACCAGGAGAGCTGACTTGGGTTGAGGCCGACAAGAGCGCGTGTAATTCCCTGGGAGCCCTTCTCAACATCAACAGAGAAAGATCCCGAATAAACGAGCGAGAATCCCCAAACTTCGCCATTAGATTCCGTGCTTGCGGGGTCCATTACAGCAAGGAATGGGTTGTGAAGGTGGGAGGAGTAGCCAGTTGCACTCTCAAAACTAAAAGGAAATCACATATTGTCAGCGGGCTTCCGGGATTTGATATGACCGAAGTTAAAGAGACAGAGTTTACTTACCCCTGCTTGCCATACTCAATTTTTCTTCGCTCGCGGTGTGCCTCTCTTGCCCAATCACCGCGCAGGCTAATCATATCCAAGTTCTCGTACGGGAAATCCACGCTCATGCTTGCAAGCGACTCGATTGTGAGGTTGCCCTTGCCCTGGTTGGTGATGTTTGCACTACGCACAATTGCATTGTGCTTCGGGAAGACCGAGTAAGAGAGATCAGCTGCAACGGAGCTAAAGTTGTCGTACATATGGACGATCAAGGTTGACACCTCATCATCCGTGCCGAAGGTCGCAGGCAAGCCAGACAGATCAGGCTTACCCTGCTTGACAGTATATGATTGATACCGCAAGTCAGAAACAGCGTACCCTTCCGATTGGCGGATTCTGATCGCTGGCTGGCGGAAATCTCCTCGGCCTTGGTCAGGAAATTCGCGTCGGACGCGTCCAATGGTGTTGACCCAGCCATTAACATTGCCCGTGACTTCTATAGGAATATCTCCTGACACGCTAGCGCCGAAGTGATCTGAAATCAGGTCACCGGTGCTATTGTCGACATGAAACCGGTAGGATACATCGTTACCATTCAGAGAGAACGAGCTGCCATCCGCAACGATAGCTAAATGATCTTGTCAGCCTTTTCCTCTCTATCCAGTGGAACCTTGAGAAGGGGTGATATACCACTTGAAGAGCTTGCGGCCATGACTGGACTTAAAAGGGTAACTAGGCTGGCAACAGCCGCCATTTTAAACGAAGGGAGAGACATGTTGTGTTCAAGTTCTCTCTGCCCTTCTCAGTCTTCGAAATGGGTTGGAGAATAACAACAAGCGAAAGTCCTGAGATCCCGACGACTTTATATCCTAAGCCCCGTGGAGAATGCGGTAAGGGGCATGCGGCCACGGGGAAAATGGACCAATAGCCAAACTCGGTAAATATTTGACTCCATTGCATTAACTTCTTCACCCGCAAAATCATGACGAGTTGGGGAGTTTGCGGGTGCGGCCATCGGTGCGGAGACTCTCCGGGGACATCGCGGCGTCGGACCCGGCGAAAAGGACTGCTAGGGGCGGTTTTGACGTTCCCTCATTGGTTCATATAACTTCAATCCCGCCTCCATCGCAATGCCAAGACTCACCGGATTCACAATGCAATAATGCAGATCGGACCAGGCCGTTCATGGCCGTGCTCAATGTTACCTCATGGTCGAACGATCGGCCATCATTGAGCACGGTCAGGCGATAGGAAAGCTATCTGCCGGAGCATGTCCGATCAGGGATGTTTCTACCCTTAACTGCCGGGATAGAACAAAGTCTTGTTTATTCGAGGGAGGCAGACAAGAAAATTAAGACAAGAACATATTGCTTGCGAGAAGACGATATCAAGATATAAGCCTCCAAACTACGAATCTGCGCTCCAGGGCTCTTTGAGACTGCAACAAGAGTCTTGATTGATGCCCAGGTCGGATAGAACGCCCAAGGACAACGTTGTGTATAGGCCGCCCCACCACAACATTTAGAATAGCCGAACATCAGTTCGAACTTGAAGTGCAATGAAAATTCAATTCTATAAAACAAATTCAGACATAACATCAGAGGCTGTGTGGGTAATCGGAATGATTGATTCGCTCGCCAGTAGCAGTTTTGAAAGAGATATAATATTCCTTCCAGCTTCAAGTTCGTGCGTCTCAAACCAACCTGGAACTTGAACAGTTCTCGTGGCTGACGGCAATATTTATGTTGCGCATACCCACATTCGATTTTCCAAATTGTTTTGAATAAGAGCCACACCCGCGACATAGTAGGAGCTCCAAACATCCCCCAGACGCGCTGTTTTGGCCGCCCTCGGTGAGATAGGAACTCATCCCGTTTCCGATTTTAGTGTTCAGGAAAGACTCGTTGGTGAAAGAAGGTTTTGTGAACGCCAATCATACTCTACCGCGCGTAGAAAGCGACAATCAAACTGCCATATCTGTTATTTTATTAGTCTTCGACTGTTCTAGTAGTATGATTGGTATAACTCACAGTGCAACCAACATCGCTCCGTGGATATACGCATATTGCCCATCCCGAAGCAGATGGTTGACAACCAGGACAGCCAGAAACATCATACCCGACTGGAAAGGATCAAAATAAAGCGACATGGGCTCCCCTATGCACCAGCCTATAATCACAAGGAGAGGAATCACGAAAAGACCTATCTGGAGGAGACTGTCCACTATTACCCGAATTGCAGAGTCAGTGTCACCACTTCGAGCCGAAGCTATAACCGTCGTGCCCTCTGTACTGTTACTTGCGATCGGTATCAGGATCACCGCAATAAACATACGGCTGAAGCCAAATGTGTCCACCATATCGTCTATTCCTTCAAAAATCAGCTCTGTGCAGAAAATGGTCGCGGCCACTGCCGCGGCTAGTCGCATGGATGGGGCAACGATTTTGGACGTGTCGGACTGTTCGGATGGTGTCTTGGTGCTTTTAGAACCTCCTACTTCATTGAGATGGGTCTCCTCTTGCTCTTCTTCTTCCTCTGATAGGAAAAGGTGCTTGTGGCTTTTCATATGAAAGTAAAGATATCCTCCGTAGAGGAGAAACAAGACGAATGAGGTGCCACGAGAAAAGGCCAGGACGCTTTTATCAATTTGCGAAACGGGAAAGGTTGAGTAGAGTGCAGTTGGTAGTAACATTGTGACAGCGGTGATCATCATCAAGGACGACAAGGTCTTGGCCAGATGGCCGTTGAACTCAAGAACATGCTTGTTATAAGATGCTGTCACAATGCAGAACCCGAATATCTGATTTGTATTGAATCAGCCAGCTATTCCTGTATGTATCAACTTGGAAGACCTTGGGAGCAATTTTTCTCACCAATAAAATATCGGACAATATACTACCAACCATGACCGATTGAGCAAAAACAATGTCCCCGTGCAAAAGAGCAAGGACACCGGACTAAAGGTTGATATGTGGTCAGTAACCTGAGCTTTGATCTTCCGCCTAACAATGAACCTATGGATACGAACGGTTAACTCGACGGTATTGCCAAGTGTCGCACCTATCAGTGCACCTTGCAGATGGCCCAAAGAGTCTGCAAGCTCATCGGACGCGGATGAAATGACATCCGAAAGAAAGATAATTGCAACCAGATTGACAACCAGCACGATTGCTGCACTCCAGTGGAACAGACGCGCTAAGCCTGCGATCGGGAGAAGCAGCATGATCGGTCGCAGTCTGTTGGTGTCATTTCCAGCCTGCATAGGCAATTGGACCAACTCCAAGAGTGGATTCAACGCGTCACCGGTCGCCATTGTCGTGAACTGCTCTTTGAGGGGGGAGTAGGGAGCCAGCTCGACCGTCAGAGAAAGAATACTTGCAATGACAGATTGCGGAGGCAATCAGTTCCAGAGGGGCATGTCGTACAGGGACCAACGAGAATGTTTGAGGGGCTCAAACCTGTATGGAAATGTTTACAGCCCGGTTGTTCAGCCTTATTACTAGTTTGATACGCGACCCACCATGGCGTATTTTGTTTGGTAGGGCTGACCCCCCTCCCCCGACTGAATCCACATTTCAAACCAGGCAACGCAATTTCGAGATGAAATAGACCGGTGCACAGATACTTGCACAGCAAGAATCCCCAGGCTCAAAAATAAATGGATCAGGTTCTCGCGGAGGTCAAAATAGTTCCGCCATTTCATTAGCTAGAACCTCGATCCGTTCTTACGAGATGCACACACCCACAAACCATCCACCCAATTTCTATGAATAGCATGAGCAGCGCATTCTTTTCTGTTGATGCATGGACACTAGTTGTTATCGTCCCACGCTAAGAGATGGGCCACATCCCACCCTTGGCAGATGTCACTGAATTCCTCGTTCACTCGGTCCCGGTCATTCTTTCACTAACGCCTCGTGTGAGCCTCTGACTGAAACACATACTCCTACCTCCTCCCGACGAACCCGCTCTATCTCAGCAATATTCACCTTACTTCGGTGCATCAGACACAGCACCCCTGACTTCCTCCTGGCCACCAACGGCGGTTCCGCTTCCTCCACCTAGCGCATCTCCCTGTTGGATAACGATACATGGACGAACCCCCAGATTCAGTTCGGTCACTGAGGCGCGCTATCCATGATCTTGCAGAGACATACCAAGCCAGAACATGGCATGAGGACGCTGTGGAGCTGCAAGGGATAGTGTCTTTAATAGACACAACGCTAGTGGAAGCGAATCCTCATTTTAAACACTCATCTGATCCGCTCGATCGACTGGAGACAATGGTTAAAGACCATCTCAATTCTGGAAAATGGACGTGCGCATCCGAAATCGCATATTTATTGCTCAAATACTACGGGCCACTGAAAGGCGAGGAGGATCCGAGGACAATGAGTGCAATGCACAATCTAGCTTCAGCATACTGGGGCCTAGGTCAATTTGATGCAGCAGCCAGCCTCGGTCTTCGTGTGACAAATCTCCGGAATAAAGTCCTTGGTGAAAGAGATACACAAACCTTGGCATCGATGTCGAATCTCGCAGCCGCATACCGAAGCCAGGGGCGGCTAGAGGATGCTCAGCGGCTTGACACTCGGGCTGTGGAGTTGAAATCGGAGATCCTGGGCATGGAAAACCGGTCCACATTGACTTCCATGATAAATTTAGCAACATCTTATTCAGAGCAGGGCAAATATAAGGAAGCAGAGGCGTTGAATCGATCGTTGGTGGAGAGGGCAGAAAGTGTGCTAGACGCAACGGACCCCTCCATGTTGACAATAAAATCAAATTTGGCAGCCGCCTACAGAGACAATGGGCAATTTTCACTGGCTCAGGAATTGGATCAAGAAGTTCTTGGAGCGAGGCGCAAGTCGCTGGGATCGCGGCATCAATCGACTTTGATTTCAATTGCCAATTTGGCATCTACGTACCGTGGCCAGGGGAAATGGACGGAGGCGGAAGGTCTGGATCGCGAATTGGTCGAGGCCAGTGAAGCTATACTTGGAAAAGAGCACCCACAGACGCTAATGTCGATAAGCAATCTTGCGTCTACGTGCCGCGGCTTAGGGCGTCTGGAAGAAGCAAAGGAACTTGGTGAAAAGTCATCAAACGCTATGAGAGAGGCATTGGGCGCAGAAAGTCCTCAAACTTTAGTAGCTCTGGCGGAACTAGCGATTACATATCAAATGGATGGAAAGATGGACGACGCTGCTCGATTGATGGCACAAGTTGCAGAGTCTATGAAGAATTCGCTGGGCGAAGAGCATCCACATACACTAAGTGTCATATCCAACCTTGGATTCATCTACCAGTCACAAGGAAAATGGGATCGAGCTGGCGACCTTGCCGAAACTGTCTATTCTAAGCGTCAGGATATACTAGGAGGGGAACACCCAGATACTATTGCAGCCTTTGAGGATATCAGACGAATCTCCTGGGTTGAGGCAGCGGATCGGAATACCACAGCAATGATGTCGAAATAGAGTTGTGGACCTGGGAAGACCATTTCTTTTTCCAAATAATCAAATAAACAATTATCAATCTGACCATCTTTTGCTCCAGGTGGCAGTAGCTTGGGCCAGTCATCGAACGCTCTCTCTCCTCTCCTGCCTTGCACAGCCCCCTTGCCAAGAAAATTATACTCGAAGGGTCCAGTGACAAAGTTTATCCGAGTATCTATTCAGTGACGAAAACATATCTCCATGTACACGATAGTTTTGATTTGAGTCAATGCACCAGCTGGATCCGTGGACTGCTTGATCTGTTTCGTCGCAGATTCCTGAAAAGTCTACTAAATAGCTTGCGGCTGTTTCTAGTCTTTTAGCATGGCCCCAAACCCTCGAAGGCTCAAAGGGGTTCCAACATTAAATTCAGATCTTCGATACTACCCTTGCCAGATATCGTCGGCCCTTGCTGAGATTCTTGCTGCGGGCGTATCTGGGCGCACATAAAACGAAAAGACCATGATCATGTATCTTGAGAATAATCAATCCATCAGTAATCTCACATCTTGGGTTAGCCGAAATAGAAAGTACTTACGTTCCAATTAACATCAAACCTTCGAAATAATTGCTCCTACCATCCGAAATGAGATAGGTCATGACAACGATACTTAGTAGTAAAGTGGTAGCCTCGAACGCATCGAATTTCAGGATCAATGGCTGATCTAACACCCAACCAACAGTCACAATGAGAGGCGCGACTAGCATAGTGAGCCTCAATATCCCATTGATAATCGCACGAATGCCACGCTCTATATACTGTTCTGCTCGGGAGCCCTCCACTATCATGCGATGCTTCGCGATATTCCCCACCAAAGGAATTATAGTGAGAGCGGGAAAAGATGGGTTGGTACCTAAGACCGTTCCCACGTCATTGACACTGTCAACAATCTGGAATGAACAGGCCAGTGCACACAGGGACGCAACCATGAGTACAAGTAACGAGCGCCATGGTCCACTCAGCGGCTGTAAATCTTGCACTCCCGCTCTGTTGTGGGAGCTTCGAACATCGGAGTTGCCGTGTTGAATTGGGGTGCCAGCGAACATCTCGGCGTGCGTATTGAGTCTGAAGAAGAGGTATATGCCAAGAAGAGCAATTAAATTGACAGCCGTTGCCTGCTGCGTTAGAATTGCCTCTTCGACCGATACATCATGGCGCGATGACAAGGCGTCCAGAGCAGTTGGAGTAGCCAACATAATGAAAACAACCATCATTAATGAGGACAAGGTAGTCGTAAGATGTCGATCAAATCGAAGTCGATTCTTGTCATATCCCGCGAAGAAAAGAGAGCCGCCGAGCACGAGAAGCAAGTTGCAGAGAATACTGCCGAGAAGAATAGATCGGGTGATATGAGGGGCTCCTCGAATCACGGAGCTTATTCCGATCTACCCATGGACCAGAGGCAAATCCCCTTCGATCAGTTCAATGTTCTCCGACCGTGAGATAGGATGGGAGAGTATTTACCATAAGCTCAACGGCATTTCCAAGGGTCCCTTTAAGTAACTCATTGGTGAGACGCCCCGTATTCACAGATATAGCGCTGATAGACCGGTTGATCCAGTTAAGGAGAACACCCAGGGCGAGAAGATTTATCGCGAACACGATAATTTGTGGAAGCTGTAGAATACCTGCCACAATGCCTGCGAGGGGCAGCAGAGTGAGGGTTTTGCTGTGCGGAATGTGTCTCGTCATGGTCACACAGCCGGACAGGTACTCGAGGGAACGCTTGGATGTGTGGACAAGCAAAACAATCTCGTCGGGCCAGTGTGTAATTTCTAGGGGCCCCGGTTTTGATTTCTCTCAACGTCCTTCGAACGCGGAAATGGGCTCGCTGGAAATCGTAATGGGAAAGGATTCACATTACGCGTTGGAGTGAGGACCCGCTCTCCGATGTATGATCAGCGGGGATGACGGTAGATTAGTATGTAAATTAGGCACCGAGTATTGACAAGCGTTCACCTGAGCCGTGTCTTAGCCGTCTCCTTTTTGCTTTTTGCTGGCTGGATTGCATCAACTGTACGACGTGGATGCGTATTGCCCCGCCCATACGCCGTTTTACAATTTCGTTGTTTGGGGGCTAATCTGTACTGGATTTGTTATTTATTTTTAATTTAAACACTTTGACCAGCTTCTCTCCTAATAGGATCCTCCTCCACCTGATTAACTAGTGAACACTCACATCCGCTCTGGTCACATACTAATATGCCTTCCAGCTTTCTTCACCTTTCCTAAAAGCCATGGAAACCCCAACCACCCGTTTACGGAAGTCCGCGAAAACCGAACACGATAACATGTCAATTCCTCAAAATCAAGAAGACCTCCCACTGGTAGACGGAAACAAGACTCTTTCGGTGACAGACACGCCAGCCTCGCAAACATCCAGATCAAGCGATAGAGGAATGCCGACGACGACGCGACCTTTGGACATGGGCAAATCCGGCTTGGCTACTCTGAAGATAATACTGGGCGAGAGCTACACGAGCTATCTGCTTCCATTTGTGTTTCTGGGGATCATTGCGGGGAAGCAACATTGGGATGATTCGCTGGTCTTTCTACTGAACTTTTTGGCGATTCTTCCCCTTGCATCATTGCTCTCATTTGCGACCGAGGAGTTGGCAAAAAGTGTGGGCCAATTGCTTGGAGGATTGATCAATGCAACATTTGGCAATGCGGTGGAAATGATTGTACGTCGAAGAATAACTATCTCTCCCTTTCTATAGAGCATGGCTGACGTTGCTCCGCTTGTTCCTTTTAGGTGGGAATCACTGCTGTCGGTCGCGGCGAAATGAATATCGTTCAATCAAGCATGGTTGGGAGTATTCTTTCTGGAAGTCTCTTGGTGAGAATGTGCCCCCTATGTGGCTTTCAATTCGTGATGGACTGCTAATACATGGACTATGAAGATCCTCGGATGCTGCCTCGCTGCGGGCGGTTTGTCAAAAGACACGGTCGCCTTCAACGTCGACGTCAGTGGAATATTATCATCGTTGATGGTTGTCGCTTCGGCGTCACTGATTATTCCATCTATTCTGGATGCAACTACACACTCCAAATCGGACGCGGTGCATGATAGCGTTTTAAGCTTATCACGAGCCACCTCGGTCGTTTTGCTCATATTTTATCTCGTCTATCTCTTCTTCCAGCTCAAGACTCACGCTAATCTTTTCGTCGATGATTCGGGGACGGAGGAGGAAGAAGAGGAGATTAAGCTCGGCCCCTGGTCAGCGAGTGCTGTGTTGATTACAGCCACTCTTGGTGTCACTGCTTGCTCCGACTACCTCGTCGATAGCGTCGACGGCTTCGTTGAGGTTTGGGGTGTGAGCCGAGCTTTCATTGGACTCATCGTTGTACCAGTCATTGGAAACGCTGGGGAGTTCAACACCGCCATAACCGCAGCTATGAAGGATGGCATGGATCTGGCGATTGGTGTCATAGTCGGGAGCACACTTCAGATTGCGCTTTTTGTCAGTCCGTTCCTGGTGATATGCGGCTGGATTATTGGGCAGCCTATGTCTCTCCGTTATAGCACATTTGAGACGGTGGTGTTCTTTTTATCGGTCATCGTGATGGACTGCTTGATTCGCGGGGGACGATCCAACTACTATGAGGGATTCCTATTGATTGGAACGTAAGTCAAAAATTGAGTCTGCTAGCCTCCCAAGCAATCCATGGATGCTAACACAATGATTCGCAGCTACCTGATCATAGCGATCGCATTCTACATACATCCAGACTCGGTCGAGACTAAACCATGATGACCATGATCTGTATCATAATATGAGACAAATTTCAAGTTTCCTTCAAGTTGTTCAGCGAATTTCATTCCCATTTTTACTCTCACATCAACTTCCCAGGTGGAACCCAGGCGTGTCATGTTGATATCATAGCATTCGGATATCTCTACATAATGATATTTTACTTTTTTCAAGTCGAGCAAAAGTATCATCTGCTAATTCATATACCAATTGAACTCGTCGTCTATGGGAAGCAAGCAAGAATTGCCACCCAGACCAAGATACATTTATGGATATCTACGGCTCCAGGTTTCCCCGCTGTGGAGTCGGTCGGCACTGCCGGTGGAGAGACTCGAAATCCCCCCTGCCTCCCGATTAAATCCTTCTAAACACCAATGAGAAGAGCAAAAGCCTGCAGGGCTTGTCGGTAAGTGGAAAAAATCACTATACAATTGGCCCTCATGATATAATGACCCTAGAGCTGACAATAAACACAGCGAACGCCGCCGGAGGTGTGAGATCCGGGCGCCTGGGGCGTCATGTACCTACTGCCACGATCGGAGACTTCCTTGCTCAAGTAGCGAGCAGTCAAGGGCGCCTCAATTAATTGACCATACACAGTTCTATGTGTCACAGACCAGTCTCGATGCTTCAACGCCCATTCCCTTATCGCAGGAGGCTGGTCTGGCAGACCAGTCTCTTTGCACCGAGCTAGTCCAGCTCTATTTCAACTATGTGCATGATCAATTCCACACATTATTTCACCCTCCAAGCTTCATGGAGAGTCTGTTGCAAGGAAAGGCTCCTCCTATTTTGGTTTATGGCATGATGGCCCTCTCGGCGCGGTTGGTCAAATTCTTCACACTCGGATGTGAATTATCTATGCTAATTGGCCATCATCCCTTGTTTAGATTCTCTAACAACCCCACTCTATCCCAAGTTGATGCAAGGGAGCGAGGGAAAATTTATGGAAAGCAATGCGAGCGTCTACTTGATTGGAATGACATCTCTTTGATCACCATACAAGCTTGCGTTTTACTAGGTGCCATCGCTATTACAGATGGGAAGGCGGCTTCAGAAAATATCCATTATGCAGTGGCGTGTCGGATGGCGCAGCTTTTGGATCTTCCAAAATGCGAAACTGACAGTGCATTGGAGCATGAAGTGAATATTCGCGGTAACCTCACTTTTCCCGCTTTTAGTAAAGCACGCGCTAATCGGTCTCAGTATGGTGGACTCTCTGCATGATAGATGTCTGGTCTTCTTCGGGAGTTCGACTTCCAAGGCTTCTCACACCCCGAGATGATATACCACTCCCAATAGATGAGGTAGTATTCTGCAAAATGGGGCCGGGAAATGAACATAACATCACCGTTGAGAATATCACGAAATCATCTATTCTAGCAGAGATGGTCCGCTTGAATCGCATCCTTCTGCAAATCAATCAGTTCAATATCAGAGCATCGGAAAACAATCTCGACTCCCAGTCGATAATGAATGATGTCGAGGATTTATCCCAACAACTCGACATTTGGTTTGAAGAGCTCCCTGATCACATGATGGATACTCGAGAAAACCTCACTCGTTACTCTGAACAAGGGCTAGGTCGACTTCTCGTTGCTCTGTACCTAGGGTACTATAACTATGGTCAAATGCTTTTCTATCGATTCTTACACGAAGACTCGCGGACCTTCGACAGTCGCACGCGTTACTATGCGAACAAGTGTAAGTATCACGCGAGTAAGTTGTGCGAGATAGTCTACGCTTCGGAGGAGGTCCCGGGCTGTGATGCCAAATACAATATGGTGGGGCATGTGTTGATGATTGCCTCAACAATACAAATCCACACACTGTTATTTGAAGAGAACGAGGACATTGTGGCAATCGCAAGAAAGCGCTTGGAGAAGAATTTTTGTATTCTGACCCATTTGGTGAGCCTCTGGCCTACCCTGGACGTTTGTATGGATCGTCTTATGACTTTCCACGCATCCTGCAGAGAGTCTGCGGAAACAAGCTTCTGTATGGATCAATGGATGGTGCAATTTTTGGTCGAGTTTGCGAAGCCAGTGAGTGGGAAGGATCCTGAGACCCAGCATAAGAGCTCATGGTCCCTATCTAGTATGGGCATTGTTCATTAGAAATGTTGGTTGATTTGAACTATTAATGTATAACACTGCAATGGCCGAGTTGAATCGGTGTTCAATGTTAAGTCAGACTCAATCAATGAGTCATGTCTCTCGTTGCGGTCCTGTTGTGCAACCTTCCTAGCCAGGATCGAGCCGTCCATCTGCGAATTCTCTTTCCCCATAAAAGAAACACAATAACCATAAGGTTATTGACAAGGAGAACGCCACCAAAGATACCTGATATCACGACAGCATATCCCCCTCGATAAGATCCAATCAAGCAAATATGATCCCATCCCAAATGAAATGGCCTGTTTGCCCAAATTCATCGCGATCAACATCTCCGATGTATTAGCATAATATGAGTCCACTGCATAGGCAAGCGTGAACGTAAAATAAAAGTATGATCCAAACTGATTCATCGCAACACCGGCAAAATATCCAGTCCAGTGAAGGTCGCGTTGGGCTGTGAAACCGTAGACTATGAGACCTGCTGGTGGTAGGAGGAGAACCGGGAACAGAGCTGGGAGCCGCATTTCGGCCTCGCGTATTCCGTTGTTACGTTTCGTGCGATATGCAGCCAATCGGTCCGAGGTTGATGTCAGAGGGAGAGCAAGGAAGTAGCCAATAAAGCTTGCGACTGCAATGAGGCCAGAGTTTGTCTAGTATGTTTAGTCGACTTCAATAAATCGTGAATTTGATGGAACATTACACTTACCTCACTCCAGTTATAAGGCGGTGCTGTTATTTTTATCGGGAAGGTATAGTTGAATGCGAGGGCCCCCAGCCCAATGTAAAGACCGTATGTGGCGATGACCCAAAACACAACGGGCACGAAGAAGTAGGTAAATGAACGCAAGATTGTCATGAAAAATTCAGGTTCATGGTCAATCTCGCCCCAGAGTTTTAGTGTTTCCAAGAATGACTTCCGTCGTGGAACTGAGGTTGAAGATACATTCTCCAATTGTACGGGTGGCTGCGATTTCTCACCGGCGATCTCTTTTGCCTGAAGGGAATCAGTCGAGGGATTTTGAAGTGGCGATTGCTGAGGGCGATGATAAGTAGATTCTTCCACGAAAAAGAATGCCATGATCAATAATGCGCCAGCAAAGGCAGCTTCGACGTAAAAGAATAATCGCCATGAGTAACCACCAGCCAGCATATATCCGGCATAAAGAGGACCAGTCGATCCGAGGCAAAGGCAGACTGCATCAAGTTAGTTGAGAACACTTCCTTGGCGTTTGAACCTACTAGTATAGTACCCGATTCTCTTTCCACGCTCATGAAGATAGAAGATATCGTTCACCACTTGTACCGGTAAGCTTTCGCATACTCCACTGTTGACGCAGAGTTAGCTGTATGTATTTCGAGTCATGCTGTTAAGGTATAAGACCAACCTCCCGAATCCATGGAAGACACGAGCAATCATCAAACCACGATAACTAGTAGCACGAGAGGCCCCAATTAACCCAGCAAGGAACTGTTCAAGTTAGCCTTCTCTCCCTAATATCTGCGAGGTGTAGAGTTATGTACCGTAATCATAGACAGGAGTGTCACCGGCCTTCTTCCAATTTTCAGATACATAGGCACCAGAAGAAGTGAGCCTGGAAGTAATCAGCACAATCGTCACTTTACCACTTTCATCCGGACAAGACCTACCAAATCCAAAAGCTAGATTCGGATACGAAATCAAGCCCGAGGCTTCCGCTGGTGAGATCCCAAACTCCTCACTGTATATGCTGATATAAACCGAGGGCCCAGTTAGGGAGCTATTGCCGAGAAAAGAGTAGACAGAGACGATGATCAAAATAATATTTTTCTTCCAACCTGGCCACTGTAGTGCTCCTAATTAGCACTGAAAGCCTTTGGAAGATGCGAAAAGCTTCGGCGTACTTGAAGTGGATCATTCGGGTCTTCAGCAGGGACAGGGTATAAAGCTTGTCCATATGCCGTGTCATCCCCCTCTGCCGCACTCAGATCAACAGTGCCCGGAATTTCACCTTCGTGTGCATGACTGTATTATTGAATCTCGCATCAATTATCTTGTCTTGGAATTCACTCCATTTTCCCGGTGGAAAACAAACCTGTGAGCAAGATGCGGCCGTTTACCCGCTTCGTTGTTGCCTTCACCCATGTCGATAATTGAGCCGAGAGCCAACTCAGAGGAAGGGAGCTGTCACTACCAAAACGGAAGAAAAGTCAAAAGACAAGGGATGATCAGAATTACTTCTCCGAAGGGAATTATTCCTACAGGGTCCAGCTTCTAAATGATGGCTATTTACCCCCCTAGACCCTAGATGGGGCCCAACAGTCTTCCCCGCACTGCCTCCACATTTTACCCCGGATTTGTACCGCTCAGTGGCTACAAGATCGGAAGCTTCAAGGTCAATGGGCGAGGCCCCACACGGGATACTGGGGCTTTGTGGAACATATTGATCAAAAGGGCATCCCTGGGGGATCAGCTACTGATATGACGTTAAGACTAGCACTGGTAATACCAGATGTAGAATAGCACGATCAAGTCAATTGGTCCTTGCTGTGATGCTATGAATGCATTGGAGATCTGGGGAATCTTTCGGAAATGATTTGTTTAAATACGTGCTCGCCATTGGATAAAATATTAGATAGCACTCTATTAACACCTTCCGTGGCAGATCTTAAAGAAGTGATCCTGAATTGACTAGAGCTGCCAGCTAGTCTTGTGATATTAAACGACAGAAAGTGAGTGGATGCACCCTGCCAATTTACACGCTTTTGTAATATTGTTTTCCTCGCGCGGATCTTCAGGATAGAAGCTTGCTCTTTATGTAAACAGATCCTATACCAATTTCAAAATTGGTGGGCCGACCTCTGGTGGTTCATCATCGCATCTCATTCCATCCTTCGAAAGAAATCCCCCAATTGCCTCAAAATCTCAAAACCTCAAAAGTGCATCCATATCATACATCGTAAATCCCTCATGAAAGTGTCCTGAAGCCGGTATTTGAAAGTCTTTATCGAGTGGAGAAAAGTCACACGATCGCCCAGTTGCCATATTTTGTGCGGGCAGTCCGAGGGCATTCAAGATTTCCGGCGCAGCTGAATCCACCGCATTATTATCTCCTTGGTCTCCGGTGGTGCTACTGTCTTCTTCGGTATTCGAATTTTCCGTTGACGCATCATCATCATCATCATCATCCTCCTCCTCGGGCGGAATCAAATTCATAACCTCCGCAAACATCGAATACACGGCGGCCCATCGGGGAATTTCGTGATCGATACCACGTGGTAAAGGTAGGTTATATGCGTTTCGGGGGAATTGCGAATCGAGTGTATTCTGGATCTGGTTCTTCCGAGTCTTAACTTCACCTTCGTCGACAGCGCTGCGACAGAAGAAAAATAGATTGGTTAGTTCAATTCAAGCTTCTCGGACAGAATGCCGTGTCTGACATGACTCGAAGACATACCGATTTACGCGTTCTCGAGGTACACATCTCTGATTCTCCTGGCAGCAGTATTTACATCTGTGATACGGCGGTGCGGGAATGCAGCGCTTTTTCCGTTCGTAGCAGGCTTGACAGGCCATTCTTTTGTCTTGGTTGTGACTGTGACTGTGACTAGCGGTGGACTTTTGGACACCTTGTGGGCCCTTGAGTTTCCGCAGCTCCCGGGGTGTCGTCTCCATGGCGGTCACGGTATTTGACGAGGAGATTGATGTGTGAATAAATTTGTTTATTTTTTGTAAAGGTCAGGGTCGTGTCGAAATTTTGGGAGAATCAGAGAATAATAGGGGGGAGTGTAAGTATTTCGGAGAAGAAATCCCGACTGGAATTTGGGTGAGTCGCACTGACATCCTCGGCCGGCCGGAACGCTTCGCTCTGGGGTCAAGCGGGGACTATCGGGGGCAAATAACTCTATTTCCAGGGTTTTCAGTGGGCACTCAGTGGAAAGGAGCGATAAGCTGGTGGAGAAGGTGACATGTTTGAATTGGGAAGTCCGGTCAGACAGACCAGATCAGACCAGATGTTTAGGAATGGAGACTATTTACGGTTTCATCAACAATGTAATTGGTTCAGTCTCAATATCCTCGGGGACATAAGAGATGATATGCATCAAATATTATAAATCAGAAAACTGCGTCCTTAGGTACTCCCAACGGTAGTAAACCTCGGATCGGACCGTAAAAGACCTCGGACCGGACTTCGCCAAAGTACGGTCCGATCGCCGATATCAAGGATCGCACCATCGCGAAGTCTACTCCTGACAAGTTCTTTGCAACTAAAATAGCGCCACGCCCCCTGCTACACATCCTAAGTGAAAACGTCCGTGGCATACCTCTCCTTCGTACGCAACCGATCAAAGAACGACTCAGCCGCAGCATCATCATCCAGCTCGGCGTCACGTCCGAGATAACCAAGATCCTCCCCTGTCTCCTTGGCCCGTGCGATCTTGTCATGACGATGCTCAAGGTAAATGGACTTGCAGGCCTCTCGCACACCATTTCCAACACTGGTGCTTCCGCAGACATATAGTCGCGCCATATCTTCCATGAGACCGACCAGCTCAGTCTTGTCTTCCAGCATGAGATCTTGAATATGTTGGCCCTTTCCTTCTGTGGGGCGACTATAAGCCCACCGGACCTCGACAGCGCCCTGGGTAGCCCACTCGGCTAGCTCTTCAGCATGGATGTCATCCACGCCCTTGGTTCGACATCCGACGTAGAGAATGGCCTTGGCAGGCTTATCTGAGGCGGGAAGGTCGTCTGTGGATGTGGTGCCATTGCGACCGCGAATACGCTGGACGCGATCCATGATGAAGCCGCGGAAAGGAGCAAGGCCGCTTCCGGCACAGGCCATGATCATCGGGGTTTGGAGGTCAACTGGGGGCTTGAAACCGGAATTTGAAGGGCGGACAGTGATGTGCGCGCGCTCGCCGGCTTGGAGCTCAGACAGGTAATTTGAGGCGACTCCGAGGTAGTCCTCTGGTGTTTCGCTTCCTGGCTCTGTTGGGCCTGATAGGGCGGGGGCACTGAGGACGGAGAAGGTGATGGAGCATTCGGATGGGTCGGAGAGGGGAGATGAGGAGATTGAGTATTGGCGCACGCGCATCGGGGGAAGCATGCTGAGGAAGTCGCCAAGTGACAGCTTAATGGATGGGTAGCGCATCAGTAGCTCGAGAGGGCTGACGTGCTTGCGCACGATCTCGGAAGTGAAGCGGCTTGGGCTCGAGGCGATGTAGCGGAGCTCTGCTTGCGTCTCAGCATCCTCGACGGCGGCATCAGCGAGGATGTTCAGGTCGCGCTTATTGGCAGGTTGAGAAAGCTCAACATAGGTTGACAGTAGCTCGAATGCGGAGATGGGTGTGTCGATGGGGATGGAGGGAGGTGTGGATGAGGTTTTGACGGGCTTTTGAATGCGCAGGATGGCGTCCCAGGGAAGGTCAAAGCGGCGAATTGCACGACGGACAACAGGTGTCGGGTTGACTGGTAGTACTGCGAGATAGTCACCACATTGGTAGGTCATGTCGGTTGGCAGCTTGAAACGCAGAATGCGCTTAGCGGGCACGCCGGGCTTTGTGAGGAGCTGGTTTTCGACAACGAAACCCTCTTCGAGCTGGAGGCCCAAGGTGGAAGCACGCATGCCGGAGCTAACTTCCACTTGTAGTGATGCCTTGGGCTTGGTTGCTTTGTCTTCACCACCACCATACTTGGCTGTGATGGCAGGCCAGAAGGTTGTCTCACCCCAACCGTCGAAATCGGTGAACATGTCCGAGTTGGCTGCGTCGGAGAGACCAAGGTCACAGAGACGATTTCCACCGTTTTGCTTGACGAGCTCGTTGACTGCCTTTGGTATGCGGTGGAAGGTTGCGGACCAGTCATCTAACCAGATATTAGTATGGATTTATAAAAGTTTATGGGTCGTACTCACGATGACCACAGCCAAAGGTCGCATAGTTAGTTCCCTCCAGGCTCTTTCCGTCGAGCTTACTTAACCATTCAAAGAAATGTGCGGCATTATCCGGTGGCTGACCCTCATAGGAAGCAGTAATGAAAACGACCGGGTCTTCCTTCGGGATGTTTTGTGTTGCCGAGTCCAAGGAAGCTGTCTGGGCCTCGAATCCATAGCCACTGGCATCATCTGCCAATCTCCGAGCGAACGCCTCGCAAGTGCCAGTATTACTTCCGTAAAAGATATGCATAGGCTTCATCTTGCCATCCACGGGGGTCTGCTTAGGCTTTTTGGGCCGGTCGGTGACGGTCTTGTTTTCAGCTGAAGCGGTTGTACCGCTCAGAACCAGACCGAGCTGGGTCGGATCAAGTCCATCGCGTAGAGAAGCCTTAATGAAGAAGTCCTTGGGCTTGATGGTGAGAGTCTGTTTGATGCGCAGATCGTAAGTAGGGTTATCCATTTGGAAGTTGAAGTTCTGCAGCAGGATCGCAACGACCAGAAGAGCCTCTTGCCAAGCGAATGGACGTCCAATACAACCACGCATGCCGTTTCCAAAGGGCTTCCATGCGTTCTTGGGAAGCTTTTCAAAGTGTTCGTCCAGCATCCGTTCCGGTCGGAATTCGTCTGCATCAGGCCCGTACACCTTGGGATCCCGTTGCATCTTGCCTAATACCAGGGCGATGGGCTCATCTTTCTGCAAAACGTACTTTCCACCGCCTAGGGTAACGGGTTCGTCACCGGTCTTTTCGGGATTGGGATGAACGGCGATCAATGGTGCTGTTGGCTTCAAGCGGAGTGTTTCCCGCATGACGGCTGTGATGTAAGGCAGCTTGGACATATCTTCTACTGTGATCTTACGACGACCGATGACATTATCGACCTCATCTTGGGCCTTCTTGTAGGCATGTGGTGTTTTGAGAAGGAAGTAGAAAAGGAAAGACAGCATGCCGGAGGTAGTTTCGTGGCCTTTTCGTCTCATTAGCTTGGATCTCATGTGAAAATGGGCTCCAAAGGAAAAACAAAAACATACCAGCAATCAGGAAAGTAATCATGTTGTCAATAATCGACTCTTCGGTCATTCCTTTGCCGGTCTGCGGGTCACGGCCTAGAATCAACGCATTGAGAAGATCTTTCTTCTCCTCGGGGTTATCCTTGCGGGCCTGGATCAGGTCCTTCGACAAGTTGCGTAGGTAGGTGATATCATGCCAGTATTTGGCGTTCTCGGCGGTGGGCAAGCTATTCAGCAAGCCGGGGCGAATAGCGCGGCTTCCTGATCCAGCCAAGAGACCGACCATAGCCTCGACGAATGGGTGCATTTCATCATGATAGAATGAATTGAACCGAGTGCCCATAGAGCAGAGGGCAATCGTATCGAGTGTGAGACGGGTAAAGTCGTCTGTTACCGTGATGGCGGCAGTCGGGCCTTGTCGGGCCCATTTCATGACGAGCTGAGTTGCGATGTCGTACATATCATCGAACATGCCGCGAATCATGAGGGGACCGAATGCAGGTACCAGGACGCGGTGGGCGATGGCCCAGTTCTCTTCGCCCTGGTGGGCCGTGAAGAGACCATCATGGGTGCCATTGCGGATTTCCTTAAGGCCAGCAGTGACGGCCTTCGAGAAGCGATCCTCGTTGCAAACCTCGTCCACCAATTCATGAGAGCTGAGGAAAACGCGGGAGTAACCAAAAGTGGTGAGGCGATAGATGGGGCCTGGGGCAATGAGGAGAGGAGAGGAGAGGTCAGTATAGCTCGGATGAATCTCTGCAGGTAGATGGAGGTCAAGATACCGTAGTTGTCCGCCAACAGCTCGATGCTGTTCAGCGGGACTTCTTTATCGATGTCATAGATGTTGCCTAGGAAGGGAACTCCCTTAGGACCCGGAATGGGGACCTCCTTGGTCGAGGCCATACCGGATGGAAAGGGTAATGTGAATGCAATGCAATGCAATGCAATGGGATGCAGTCGTAAATGCAAAGGAGAGAGCTGGTGCAGGGTTGCACAGCAGCGACATTTAAAGAGAAGAGAAGTTGATCGTGGCGGGGTCGGAGCTGCCAACCTACCGATTGTTCGGTGGGTCACATCAGCAATACGACGACATACGAGAGCATCATATGGGCACACTAACTCGGCCCTATTTCTCGATTGATCAACTTGACCTCTCTGCCCTGTTACCCTCTCTCCACTCCTCCCAACACAATGCACATAACCCAACACGCATAACACTGTCGATCAACATCTTTTCGCGGCACACCGTATGTACTCCGTACTCCATTCTCCATGATCCACCCTTGTGCCGCGGCTCTTCTTCTGGCCAATGATATTTTGCCCTCATCAATCTCCCCTCTCCCGTTGGCTCAACAGTAGGCGGTGCAAGCTCCTCTTCTTGCAGTTCCCCCGAGTCCACCTCCGTTCCGTGTCCGATCGTCCGATCCTGACAAGGCAGGCTTCCGGCGAGACCGAGAACCTTGAAATCCGAAACTTGATCTGCACCCACTTTCTATTTTAGTTCATTATACTACGAGTAGGTAGGTACTCGTACATATTTTGTGAACATAAGATACCCGCAATTTGATTTTGAGTAAGTACGGATACCTAGGTACTAATCAGAATGGCCCCTGTACATAAACTTACCCCGGGAAGCCTCCGAGTCGCAGGATTATATATCCCACGATTTAACACTACTACTAGTACTAAGCGAGTGATTTCTAATGTTATTCAAGTTCCTCAATCAACTTCAACATCTCTTGACAACTATCTTCCCTCCCGCATCCCCCGAGTCCAGAATCCCGTGGGCTTTACGGATTTCCTGATAATCAAAAACATGCGTCGGCCGGGCATCCCACTCCCCATTTTCAATTTGATGGACGATTTGTTGCAATGGGATCTCCGAGAAAGGAAACCCGGAGCTCCCTAGAACTTTCCCATGGAAAAGACTGAAATGTACCCCAGATTTCATCTGCAGCATTGGATTAAAGTCCGGAACTGGGTCCAACCCTCCCAGCCAGCCCGCTTGAAGCATGCGGCCTCCACTTTTAGTCAAATTGATCGATTCCAACAGTACTCGATTGCCAATAAGATTGAGCACCTTGTCGAATTCGACTGTATGAATACGGTCAAGCCCAGCCTGCTCGATGATGGTTTCTGCGGCCCCCATCTGTTTAAGTAACTCAAATCGTTCCTGGCGACGGGTCGTTGCGGTCACTCGGGCGCCTGCACTCACGGCCAAATTCACAGCAGCCTGGCCCAGGGTAGAAGTTGCACCACGAATGAGAATCCTTTCACCTTTCTGGAGATCAAGAACGGTGAAAAGGCACGACCACACAGTGATATATATTTCCGGAATGGCAGCCAGTTCCTCCCAGGGTAAGCTTGTTTGCACCGCGATAACGTTGGTGACAGGCACAGCCGCAAATTCGCCATAACCCCCCCGGTCGGTTTCTTCCTAGTCCACCCATCACGCCCACTACAGTCTCACCAACTCTGAATTCCCCTCCGGGGCAAGCCTCCACGACTCCGACACATTCCAATCCAGTGATGGGGTTCCATTCATCCCATTCACCCTTGCGCATGTGCATTTCGGCATGATTCAGGCCAAAGGCTTTCACGGCGACGAGAACTTCCCCGGTACGCACTGTCGGCTTTGGAACGATTTTATGCTCTAGAACTTCGGGTCCGCCGAATTTTGTGATAACGATGGCATTCATTGAGTCTGACATTTTCGAGCAGGGTGAGTGTGACCTGGAGAGTGACCTTCAAGTTTCAAGTAGGTCTGGATGGTATTTTACAACAAGCCTTTGTGATGGAGAGATACTAGTAGATATAAACTTTTATTTGAAATGGTAATAAGCAGCACACGTAATGCTGTAATGCTTTAATATAGATACTAGCCATTCAAGTGTCTTGTTGTGCTGAATAATACTCACCAACCCCTCATCGAGGCCATAGTTCGCAGAGAATGAACTAGATCCGACCGAATTTGGTGAATGAGTTTGAAAGGAGCAAGTACTGCGTCATGAAATTAATCCGCGATTGCTTTCTGCCATCAAACTTAACCTCTCCTCATCTTAGGAGTATTGACTTCATCGAGACTCCATAGTGCGGTCACTGAAGTTGAAAGACAAGATGGCTCGCTGGGCCAATTAGAGAAGACCCGCTGGGCCGATGTCAGAGGTCCAGATGGTTCTTTCTGGGCGCGATGTCACACGGAACCCCATCCAACACAGCTGAAAGTATGGATCTCCACACTGACCGGATGTGACCGGACGTCACAAATGTCATGCAGATGTTACAAAAAAGATTGATTTAATTCCTTTTACACAATTTTCGAACGTATATTTTTCTTCTTTCGTCAAAAAAAACCTTTGCATTGGTCTTCAAGTAACAACGCAATCGATTGTCATTTGTAGAGCTGTTTGAATCTGCCTCAACAAGCCACAAAAATGGGTGTTCAGAAATACAAATCAGTCAAGCTTCCTTCTGGGACGAAGATGTTCTACCGTGAGACAATGCCTGAGAAAGAGGCTGATTCTCCAGTTATACTCCTCCTCCATGGCTTTCCCTCTTCGTCTCACCAATTTCGCAATTTGATCCCTCTTCTCGCGACAACATATCGTGTAATTGCTCCAGATTTACCAGGTTTCGGATTCACCGAAGTGCCACCGGACTTTGTCTATACCTTCAACAGCTTGGCAGATTCTATTGAGAAATTTGTGGATGAGCTCTGCTTACTAAAATTCTCCATTTACATCTTTGACTATGGTGCGCCCGTCGGTCTGAGACTGGCACTTCGTCGACCAGAGGCAGTTCAAGCCATCATATCTCAGAATGGAAATGCCTATGAGGATGGGTTTGGTGATGTATGGGCTCCTATCAAGGATTTCTGGGCTAGTGGGAATAGCACAGACGACCGGCAAAAGATTTCTGCCACAATGCTCAGTTTTGAAATGACCAAATTTCAATATGAAAATGGTACACCTGATATTGGGACCATCGCACCAGAATCATATCATCTCGACCATGCTCTCATGCAGCGACCAGGTAATAAGGAGATTCAAATTGATCTTTTGAAGGATTATGAAAGCAATATACCATTGTATCCCAAATTTCACCGCTACTTTCAAAAGAGCCAGGTGCCTCTTCTTGCGATCTGGGGTCAGAATGACGTGTTCTTCATTCCCGCCGGAGCCAATGCATTCAAAAAGGATTTGCCAAAAGCCGAGGTCAAGCTTATTGATGCTGGCCATTTTGCTGTGGAAAGCCATACCGATCTTATTGCTTATCATATGCTGGCTTTCCTGAATAAGCATATACTTTAGCCTAATTCCCCACATGTGTTTACTACAGGACTCAGCTAAATGTAATAATTGTACCGACACTGATATCATTCTGCTTCATGGGTTCCACGCCAGCACAAGAGACGGCAGTGTTACCGTCACCTTTATTACTCTTGTATTTACCAAATCATGTACACATGCGAGTCTATATGGAAATATTTACATCTCACACCGTCCCCTCAATCACAAACCTCAATAACCGCCCACATAACAGTAGACAAAGCTTCACCCCCAATCTTCTCCATAACCCTACGACTAGCAACATTATACTGCGCAACCTCAGTATGCACCCACCCCTCAATATCACCCACCAGCTTCTCATCCCCCTGCACATCAAGCGCACTTGCTCCAAAGACACTATCAGCAACTAAACCCCGGCGCATAGTCTCCTTGGACAGCGCAAGCGCCAGTCCCTTCCCCCGATGCGCCTCTTCAACATGCAACGTCGACAAAGCCCCATCGAGGCCCAAAAATGCCCACGCAATGGGCATTTCCTCCCCATCTCCTTCTTCGGCCACGTCCTGCTGCGAATCTACATAGATCGCTGAGCCAGGCATCAAACGCAACTGCGCTCGAGAACGGGGAATATGCGTCCGGCTCTGAACAAGATCAAGCTGTGAATCGAGAACACCAGTCTGACCCTCCCGATTATGAAACCGGTAACCCGCCGGCAAAGCTGAGTCAGTGTCTTGGGTAAACGCCGCGCGTTGGAAGAAGAACTTGTAGTAGGGTGGGTCGTCGAAGCGATGGACCCGGAGCCCGGGTACTGGGGTCGCGGAGGATCCGTCGAGGGCGTTTCTCGAAGCGGCGAAAACTTCCGAGCCTGTTTGTTGTAGGAGGCTGAATAGGGCTGTGTGGAGGGTGCCGAGTAGGAAGGCTTTTGGCGGTGGGGCGGGAATTAGGGTGACAGCTTTGATTGCGCTAGTGGGCTTGCTATTGGCGGTAGTAGATCCATTGTGAGATGTCTTCTCGGTTGGAAGTTCAGGTTCAGGTTCAGGTTCAGGTTCAGCTGAGAGGGAAGCTAAATAGGTCGGGAGTAGATTGATTTTGATGTAGACGAGTAGCGAGACTAGTTGGTCACGGACGGTGTCGAGAACAGGCTGGGGCGCATCGAAGGTGGAAACAACATAGGACGGTGAGGAATTATTGTCTTCGGTACCGTCGGTGCCAGGGATTGTGTCGACGATCTTGACCGGCTTATTTGACGTGTGTCCTTTTTCCAGACTAGAGTAGACGATCATTTGGGTCTCGCGACCACGGAAAAGATCCACTCGCGCAGCCAGCCACGGCGCGTCGTCAGGGGGACGAGCGCCCGGTGGGAAAGTGGCCAGGACCCTGGCGGTCGGGGTTGGATGGTGGACGCCATGCTGGATGCGTCGGACGAGTGAGATGGAGTGTGGGAGATGCGCCGCGAGACATGGCAGGATTAGCGCATGCGCATCGTGTTCGTAGATGCTTCTGGTGGTTGTTTGGGGTTGGGCTCCCGCTGTCATTTTGGTCAGGACTGGGTGGGTTGGACCCGAGTACCTGGTTCTGGGCTTGGGTGGATTGGGTGGATTGGAGCTGTCAGTTCAGCTTTGGGAATGAACTATTGAAAGAGCATTGAAGAAACTTGAAGAAAAGAAGGGGAAGTGACAGGTTGACGTGTGAGTCACTCGGGGCGCCTAAACGGGATAAGGCTGATCTATGGAGGACACCGTCGTAACCTCGGTAAATGGTAGAGACTAACTAGTTTATATTAATTATACTCCGTAATATGATGTTACTATTATATTATCTTCGCGACCATAGCTCGATATACTAGTATTTACTATTTGTCATGCTGTGGCGGTGCGGACTATTGATTCTGACAGGCTCCACAAGGGGTTGGGGTTGGGCGATCACTGTCAATGATGCATTAGGGTTAGGGGGCGATCATTTACATTTGACATTTGGTCTATCTCGTGGTAGCCCAGCCATTCGGTACGCTTTACTGGTCACAGATTATGGAGGAGACCGAATATTCAAGTGATAAATCGTGGTATTTGCGCCGGGTCCAACGCCTAGTCCAAAGACCATCTGCAACGCCGGAAAATAATCCTCGCACGAGCCTTAGTTTTGATCAAGGGAAAAAAAAGTGACAGAAAAACAAAGGAAAATAATCAAGGAAACTCGTCAATGCTCATCAAAGGGGGTGGAACTCTCATCACCACCCATCCATCCATCCATCCATCCATCAATGCATAGGATCCATTTACCACCCCCTTTACCACGGACTGCGTGCCCCCACCATCCAATCCTCCATTGCTAGCCACTCACTCCACCGGGCCTCTGCGGCGCGGATCTCATCCTCAGACGGGTCACGCAGAGGGCGTAAAAATGGAGTCTGTTCGTCGGGCAGGATATCATAGGAAGCCTTCGTATCCGCCCAACCACTACTTTTCGCCGTGAAAAGGTAATTAGTGCGCTCTTGTTTGTAAATACAACCAACACCTGCTTCCCAGTCTGGGCCGAAGAAAGCAAGCATGTTGACAGGCGTGTCTTGCGCAGTAATAATTAAACGGCGCACGTAAGGACGAAGAGAGATAAATGAGGTGACAGGTTGTGAGTTGGTCGGGTCGACGGGATGTTGAACAGGTAGACGGATATTAATAAAGGCAGCGATAGACTGGACAGTCGGATTGAATTGGCTGGATTCGACAAAATGTTGCAGACAGGTCTTATAATGGGTGTACCAGCCAGTGGGGTCAATGCGGCCAAACTCGCCAAACTCCGAGTCGCTGTCTTGCAGGATGGATCGAGAGTTGGGATAAATCATGCCCTGGTCGAGGGAGGGCTCGCGTCTATGCGCGGAGCGTTCAGCTTCTCGCTCGAGAGATCCTGGAGGGGTGGGTCTCAGAAAGGGTTCCATGAGGGGGGAGTCGAAGAGGGAGTTGAAGGGTAGTGTAGGATGAAGGATTTGAATCTTAGGAGTAGAACATACTTGGAACGGGTTGCCCTTGTGAAAAGGAAGCGCGCAGGTCGATATCCATACGTGGTGAGTTTTCCCAGCACTCTCTTCCGGAACCCTGCATGCTCAGTGACATGTTCGATCATGGATATAGTATGGAGATAGCTAGTGGAGGTGGAAGTAGTATGACTGTATAAACTCTTGAGTCTTGAGTATGAGACTAGTTCAGTACATGACTGAGGCATGGGTGGGAGGCATCCTTATACCTTTTAGCTCCAGCGATCCCCCGCGCCGGAAAGCCCGACAAGGGTCGGTGTGCCTAAGAGATTTCCATCTGAAGATCAAGGGCGGACTAGTTCGGCCCTGACGGGAGGAGTGGATCAAGGCACGAAGCTATCGAGTAAGGTGAAAGCCACAGATTAACACGCAGCACCAGCCACGGAGAGACCGAGTCTGTGGCTGTACAATCCCTTTGTCTTTGTCATCACAATATATGGTCGAGACTAACCATTCTAGGCCTAGTGTACTAGTGAGTGACTAGCGTCAATAGTGCAGCCACTATCGAAGACATACGAGTAGCACTGGACCTGTGCGACATCTGGAGAATGGTCGCGGATGTATTCGGTGATCGTCAGGTATCTGGATTATTCATACTCGCACTTTTATTCCAGGTGTGAATATTGTAATTCACGACCAAAGTACCGAGTACTGAGTACGAGTACTGAATACATTACGGAGTACGGAGTACTCCGTACTCCTACTCCACTACATACCCTAACTACGAGTATCCCACTCCCTACAGCAACGTGCACGCAGCCTGCAAGGGGGACACGAGAAGGAAAAAGAGCATGAGTGACTGGGATGAACCTGGAAAACCTCGCTTACTGACGTCTATTATTACTATAATTATTACCAGAATTATCATCCCATCATCAGCCCTTCGCACTCCACCTTCTGGCCCTAAATCTAAATGGCCAGTCACTAGCGAGATAGATTAAAGCTGACCCTCCACCCGATCCGATCTGATCTGATCTCGTATTGCGCTCGGTCACCCCGATTCATTCCCCTGCCCAGTTGGCCCCCCATCGTAATTTCACCCAATAATAACCTTCGTTGGCTCGATAATCATATTCCCGATTTCCTGGACATCATCGGCCTCCACTTGGGGCTTGCTAAAATACAAATCATCTTCAATTTGACGTCCAAGCCCCCCGCTCATTCCCTTTTACTTTATAATGCAGCCAGGTCCGGTCATCTTGCATCTCACTCAATCTCAACCTGCATTTGCACAACGCAACACAGACCGAACTTGCTCATCAAATCGGTGCAAAGCCTCTGTGCAACGCATCTGCGCCTCTGCAACCATCTGCAACCCATCTGCACCGCGTTTTTTGAAACAACCTCGGCTTTCCCCCCGCATTCCACCCGCACTGTGACATAACACATACATTCTTTCCACAATGATCTACAAGTCCAACTACGAACTTCATGTATGTTTTCTTCCTTCGCCTCGTCACAGCCCAACTCTAACCATCGGCAGTCCCGAGAGTCTTTCGACAGTAGACGCTCACCTCCACCGGAGGAACTTCTCTCCCCGTTGGCAACGCTCTACCCGCATGTCGCAGCTCTGCAACCGCAGTACGACCCTACCAGCTGCACCTTCACCGGTTACCGCCACACAGGCTATTGGGCCGCCGCTTATACGACTCAACCACTCGATGAACCGACTTTGACTCGCCGTCCAAGTGGTATGTTCATGCAAAGAACTCGGCCTTTTTTTCTACTTCAAGTTCACTCTTGCTAACTGTTCTATCCCAGAAAATCTATCTTGTCGGTTTGTTTCCAAACTACGTCGCTTTCAATTCAAACGTCGGCTGCTCAGCCGGGACGATTTTAAACATCGTCGACAATCGGAGGCGACTGCATACACCGCATGAACGGCATTCTTTCCTTCTCGAATCTTTCTCTTTTCTTCAATTCTGCATATTCAGCCAGCGTACACGACCGATTCTTTGCTCCTTGGGGAATACTTTCGAACCCATCTACTTTCTTCGACCTCTTCAAACTTGAACCGACCATGACATTCAGGTCTCCCAGTGCGGGCGCCTGATCTATTTTTGCTTTTTCTTCTCCTATGTCGTCATCACTCTGTTTCTGTTTTTCTCTTTCGTTTCAGCAAGGTGTTTTGGTTTGCATACTACCTAAGTGGTAGTATAATTGGGACGGATCATGGACATATTTTTGTGTATACAAATACAAGCAGAACATAACAGAATACTGTATACGAAGTACATAGCTAGTCAATATTGAACATTCAACACTGAACATTGAACACTAAATCCAAGCCACTTTCCCACATCTCAGTAAATAATAAAAGAAAAAATGAAAGCAGAACGAGCATCCCGACCGCAAGGAACCTACACACCAGCCGTAAAACTGGAACTGAATCTCCACCTTCGGCACTCGCAGTGCGGCGCCAGTGCAACCGTAGCAGCTGCATAACCAGGGAACAGGGACAAACAGAAGCAAAAATAAAATACTAGTATCAAATCCCGGCATGACTCGCATTGGCGGCCCCTCACGCAGATCATCGCGCCCGGCGTCTGACCTCACACTGCTCTCGGTCGAAGCGTGAATCTAATCCGCTACACTAGCATAGACAAGGTAGCGATCGACAGATATCCGCACTCAACAAACCCAAATCGAATCCCGTGGGCACTCGTATACTCCGTACTCTGTACTCTGTAGGCTGGCACGGAGTAGTCTAGATCAGCGCTAACAAGTGGAGAGAGGGGGAGATGGGGAATAACAGCAAACAACAAGACTATGGAGAAATGAACCCCCCCGATCGCGCCAACCGTGGGTTTGGATCGAGGATCATTTATCTCAATGAGTTGCCAAGGCTCGCACTAACTGATACTAGTCTCTCATCAAAACATTATCACATCACTTACTCCCCTGCGGAGTACAGTACGATGCTCAGTGCTCACTCATCCCTAATCCTTCGCTCCGCGCATCTGGTCTGAGCAGAGGCCCGACCCGTGCCGATCCAATAGTGCGCCCCAGTCAATTGCAAGGTATTTGAGATTCTGGGGAGTCCAGTCACCCAATCATTCTGTGTGGAACTGGGCGTTTGTGCCCTGCTTCTGTGTTACGATGCGGGCGGGGCTTAATAGTGTTAAGGTATTTGAATTGAGGTGCAGGTGCAGGTGCAGGTGCAGCTTAGGGACGGAGTACCATCCCCCCTACAAGCCTTGCCTTCAAGTTATTTGCTCGCCTCACTTTTATTATCGTCTCATGTACTATCCCATTATCGTCATGTCGTAGTGGATTCTAGCCCGTTTGAAGCCTGATTTTAATTCGATATATTCTACCATCGGACGAACGGAAGGTGATGGCAATGTTGACTTGGAACAAAGTACTAAGTCGATCAGATGCTCTACTATCAACTAGTACGAAAGAAAAAAGAGAAAAGGAGTTGAATGTAACTTGAAATCAAATCGAGCATCCTAAGATCGACTCGAATGGGAATCAACATTCCCATATCTCTATTCAATGAAGAAACAATCACATCCATCTAGCCCTCCATCCCTATTGAAATCAGGCAGATCGAGCACCAGTAAATATGGATATAATACCATCTTAAAGTAAATCTTGCAGGATCAAACTTAACCTAACACCAACACGAGGCCAACCTGAAGAACCCAGCCAAAAGCCACAGCACGAGACAACCCTAGAGCTCGAATGCCTGAAGAAAGTCTGGCCAGTGCCGAAACAACCTGAACCAACCGGCCTCCTCGTGCCCCTTACATCCGACATCAGCCACAGATCCTTCCAGTCTGGGAAACAGTAAACTGTGGCGCGGCTGCATTAGTCTAGAACTATCACCAGCCTTACGCCATCGTCTCCACCGTACCCTCCAGGATGCCCCTGGTGGATGCCCAGGTGCCAGTGGGACCGTGATGGATGGATGGGATGAGATAGGATCATGGAAATTGATCTCCAAAAAAGATTGATAATAACACACCAAAATATTGCGGGTGGTTCCTGCCTAGGGCATATTTTTGCCCTTCATTTTTAGTTCAAGTTTATATTGGCGGGTGTCTTTTCCATGGTTGTTTTCTGTGGCTCAAAAGTCCGTGTCATTGCTTACTGTTGTGGTATGAGACGAAGCCTAAGATGCTGGCTGGCACGGTCCTATTTTTACCACCGAGAGTTTATAATTCATGCTTGCAGACTAGGAGATCGTCATCCATGCCACAGTTCGTACTTCCAAGGTTAACCCACCCTTATCACCACCCAGGTGGCTGTAGATGCCAGTGTGATATCGAATTGATTAGTGATTAGGATCAGTGGAGACTGAGTCGATCAAATAGGTTCTATGGAGCACAAACAGTAGTCTAGTCTATTCTAGTCTTGTCGACTCTCATCGAGCCTGATCTGGTCTACTCCGTAGTATGACCCCTCCAAACCCCGACAAAGTTTCCTCGGCTTTTGGAAGAGTGTTTTGCTTGAAAGTTTGTACCTGGCTATTTTTGTCGAGTTGCAGATCTACCACTTGCATTGAGTTGCAGGCAGGGGGGGGAGGGGAGGGGATGATCGCCCTCGGCCTTGGCCTCGGCTTTGACTCGGTCGGGTCTGCTGCTGGCTCGGTATCGTTTACGGAGTACCTTACGGAGTACTCCGTGCTATCTTTTTCTATCGTGGGTATGTACTCGCTCTCTCTTTCAGTATGCGTGCATATTTTACCTAGGTATACTCCGTGGTACTCGTACGCTACTTGCAAATGGATAATGCATACTACGCAGTACGTAGTACGTAGTACGACTGTACGATGCAGCAGGCTAGGGTCTAGTCCACGTAATAGTGCAGTACTGAAAACTGATCGTTCTCGTGCTCGTAATCTACGAGTTGAAGTACATTCTCGCCGAAACTTAAGGCCTTAGCTACTAGTTACTGAGCACTTCCTGGATACTATAACTCAATATTGAAGGGTATCAATTCAGGTCGACATCACCTCCATACCACGGCCACCTCGAATGCTCCCTATAAACTCCAGAATATAACTCGGATAAAAATGCCACAAGCGTCAAATAAAGATAAGGGGAAGGGAAATGAGAAAGGAAGAAAAAAATGGAGATCAAAAGATCAAAAAGAAAACACCCAATTTTTGCAGGTGGCAACTTGACAAATGCATACCAAATACGGGGCGCACAAAATCACGCAATAGAAGGGAAAGAGGAAGAGAAAGAATGATCGGAAAAAGGAGAAGACGTCGTGAAAGAATGAGGGGAGGGGGAGGGAAGAAGAGAGAAAGTGCATCATCATAACGCAGACAAGCTGCGCGAATCCCTCCGTCAACATCAACATCGTAAATCGCTCTCATTATATCGTTATCATTGCCGTTGGAGTTTCACGTAACTTATGTCATGGAAATGGGACTATACTGGTCAACCACGCAAACAACCCAGCCCAATTCACAATCTAGGCCAAACCCGCAGAGCCAGCAGCAGCAGTCCCCCACCGGAACCTCTTCAGTCCACCGCGAACAGCCTCCTGCCCACAAGCAGCAGAAGATCGTGCACCGGGGACACCCCCATCACCCATAAGACCCATCTCCGTACGCCCAACCTCCCGACCGAGCATATACCCGGCAGAGAAGCTGATAGCGGAGAAGAGGACAACCACGCCCGCGCTAATCACCCATGTCATGACGGTTGGGCTGACGGGCGTGTTAGTGGTGATGGAGGTCGGGTCTGCCAGGCTGTTACGCCGACTCTTTTTCGACGAGAGGGTACGGTCTTTTGGTGAAGTTGAGCGTCGCTTGGCCTTTGTGTTCGCGGATAGTGGGCCGGGGGAGTCTGGGGAGCGGGGATGTCTTCGGCGGGGTTGACCCACTGATGGTGGGCTGGTTTCCGTGTTCCGGGGAGAGATGTCTTGATCCTGGTACTCTTCACCACTTTCTTCTCCCATCGCGATACATTCGCCGACTAGTCGGAACGCAGCTGGTTCTGTTGTCGGGCCAGATGGGCCAGGGGGTGTGCTTATAGGCTGGGAGTCTGATTTGGGCAGGCCGCGGGCAGCAGCTGCGCATGAGAGGAGAGTTGATAGACTGGCGCGCAGTGCGGCGTCATGGTCTGCGTGATGTGATGGTGAGAACATATTATATGGACTATGCTGTGATGATTGCTGGGAGCGACGGTATGGCCGGGTACTTGGGTATGATTCTCGGCGAATGGAAGTGCGCCGGCTAGAGGTTGATAGGACGCTGGGCTGGGATCGTCGGGACTCGCTAGGGCGGGTCCATGATGGATCGGATGTGCTTGGTGGATGACTGAATACATTTGGTTGGGGCACGAATGGGGATGGGCTTATACCCATGCCCAGGGCAGTTGAGGTATCATCTTCATCGTCGTCGCTGGAGGCGTCGTCATCGGAGTGGGAGGGTGCAGGTAGCGGTGCGCGCAGGGCGGGGCCAATATCTTCATTGGAACTGCTCATGGGAGGATCCGACTCGCTTTCACTTTCTTCGTATTCTTCTTGGCTGCTGCTCGCGGTGTTGGAGGAGTAGTCTACCTGCGCGGTAGCCACGGCTGCGAGGTGCTGCATTCGTCGGCGTCGACTGCGGTATTGCTGCATGCCTCCCCCGCGATGTTCCACCTCGAGACCGGTTGTTATTATATCGTCGCTCGTGGCTGCTGAAGACAGAGAGGAGGTCGAGGGTTGGGAGGCGACCTCGATCCAAGAGTCTATATAGTAGCGTAGTGAGTACATTATTATGTTGCGCAAAAAGGTATCCATGACGAAATCCGATCGGCAGGGGGAGGCTGGCAGGATATAAAAGGGGAGAACATGGAATACATACCTTCTGATCTCATGGGCGCCGCACCGGATGGTCGAGGCTGACCAGGGTGACCACTCTGATCGCGCGGATGGCCATCGCGCATCAGTTGACGGGCGGCTCTTGGCTCGCGCACCTGACCGAGCAGGTCGCAGTGATTCGGTTGCATGGCCAAAGAGATAGATCAAGTGGAAGGAGGGGATAGGAGATAAGAGTCAGATAGAATAAATATGAGAATCAGAATAGAAAGAGGGATGTCATCCAAGATCAGGCCACTCGGTCCAATGCGAATAAGAGCGGTCAAGCGTGGGGAAGGACGAGGTTATCTTATCAATGTGGAGACACGGCGATCTTCCATCACTGATGCCCAAGGTTGCCCAAGGATGGCCAGGGAAATGAGAGTTGGCTGTCTTTATTCTGTCTTTTCTGGGATGGTGAACAGATGGAGTTTGGCAGCCATAGGCCAGTAGATGAAAGCCGCGATGGGAAAGTCGCAGGCAGCCGGGTAGAGTAAAGGGAAAGGAGAAAGGGGGGAGAGGGCTGAGGATGAGGTGATCAGCAGACAGAACAGGTGATTTGCAGCGAGGGAGGGGAGAGAGGAGGGGTACAAAGAAGTCAAAGGGAGTATACTACATAGCAGAAGTATCCTACGAGTACTAGTAGTATATCTGCAAAAATAGGATAAATACGAGTCTAGAAGAGCCAGATATCATCGCGGATACATTTACTTTACTTTGATCCTTCAAATAAAAAATAAAAATAAAAATAAACCCGAGTCGCACGGTCTAAGATGCAACAAGCAACAAGCAATGCGAGCGATCCCACTGCGGGGGAAGGTGGAGCCACACGGTGAGCAGTGGCAGTATTTGTTAGCAGCAGGACTAGAGTGGTAGTATCTGCCGGATACCTACTGTACACTATGCAAGCATCTATGGAATGGAATATTGAATATTGAATAATGGATTCATATGAAATTACAGTTCGACCTATCATGCAACTATCGAGACATAAAACAAAAAACTTTTTGAAAAGAAATACCCAGCCCGAGGCTCCATTACACGCATTGAAAAATCGTAGGGGATATTGTGGTCAGTAAGCAAAGCAGCAAATCAATCGTGGTGAATCGATGGCAGAGAGAAAAGGCAAAGGCAACCTTCTTAGAAGGAGATCTTGGTACCCTTGAACTCAGGGATGGAACCCTTGGCCTTGTTGAGGCCACCGCCGAAGCCGCCACGGCCACCACCACGACCACCGCCACGGCCGCCGAAACCACCGCGACCACCACCACCACGGCCACCACCGCGGCCACCGAAGCCACCACCACCACCACGGCCACCGAAACCACCGCCGCCACCGTTGGCAGGGCGAGGGGTGCTGAAGTCCAGACGCAGAGCGCGGCCCTCGAGCTCGAAGCCGTTCATGGCACTGTGAGCAGCCTGGGCCTCCTCAACGGAGGAGTACTGGACGTAACCGAAACCCTTGGGGCGGCCAGACTCGGGGTCAGTGGGCAGGCGGATGCCGAGGATACCACCGTGCTCACCGAAGGAGTCACGGAGAGCATCCTCGGAAGCGCTGAAGGGAAGGTTGCCAACGAAGAGAGTGTCGGAGGCGGGGCTGGTGGAGTCACCGAAGGAGCGGGCACGGTTCTGGGTGCGCTCGCCCTGGGGCTTGTTGTCACGGGCGACGGCGTAGTCAAGGTTGACGGGACGGCCATCGAGATCGGTACCCTTCTTAGCTTCCATAGCCTTGGCGGCATCGGCAGCGTTGGTGAACTCGACGTAGCCGAAACCGCGGGAGCGGCCAGACTCACGGTCGGTCACGACACGGCAGCCAGCGAGCTCACCGAAGGGGCTGAACTCAGACTGGAGCCAGTCCTCATCGACGTTCCAGGACAGGTTACCGACGAACAGGTTGGCGGAAGCACCCTCGGGGGCATCCTCGGTCTTGGTCTTCTTAGCGGCAGCGACGGGTTCCTCATCGGCCTTGCGCTTCTTGGAGGGCTTCTCCTCCTCGCTGTCAGAGTCGGAATCGGAGGAGTCGGAGGAGTCAGAGTCGGAAGAGTCCTATAGTGAGAAAAAAAGTAATTAGTATGGATGCGTAGCGGTGATATGATGGTTGTAAGCACGTACCTTCTTCTCATCCTTGGAGGCCTCCTCGGACTCAGAGTCAGAAGAGTCAGAGTCGGAGGACTCGGCCTTCTTCTCAGCCTTCTTGGTGGCGGGCTTCTCATCCTCGGACTCGGAGTCGGAGGAGTCAGAGGAGTCAGAGTCAGAAGACTCAGCCTTCTTCTCAACCTTCTTCTCGGTCTTCTTGGGAGCGGGCTTCTCATCCTCAGACTCGCTCTCGGAAGAGCTGGAAGCATCCTTCATCTCCTCGTCGGAGGAAGACTCGGAGGAAGACTCCTCCTTCTTGGCGGGCTTCTTGGTCTCCTTCTTGGCAGCCTTCTTGGGAGCGGGCTTCTCCTCCTCGCTCTCAGAGCTGGAGGAAGACTCCTCCTCGGACTCAGACTCAGACTCAGAAGAGCTGGAGGGAGTAGGCTCCTTCTTCTTGTTCTTCTTGGACTTGTCGTCCTTGGCAACGACCTTCTTGGTGACGGTCTTGGTCTTGGTGACACCAGCGTCCTTGGACTTGACGGGCTTGTCAGCCTTGGTGGTAACCTTGGTCTTAGACATTTTGATTCTAGGAAAGTGGGTAGAATGTTAGCAATGTGTGGTAGGACAGATGTATTCCTTCACATCCCACGTACGGAGACAGTGGTTTGATAAGATCGAGTTGAGTTTTTTTTTTTTTTTCCTTGTGCGGCACAGCCAACAAGCCCTCAATAATACCCGTGATTTGATGTGGAACAGGAACAGTGATAACCCTCAGGAATAGAAATTGCCAGGAGTGATCCGATCACAGCTGGTAGAGACCCACGAAAAAAAGCAACCCGCAACGTGACAAGAGATGAAGCCCACAGAGACCGGCAAAAAGCAGCAATGCCTTATGAAACCCACGGAGAAAAAGTCCCACAGAGCCCACAGAAACGTGCAGTAATTCAAGCCCACAGCCCTCGATGTGAATAGCCCACTAAAGTGTCTGTTGAAGTACCTTTTTTGGAAGTACAGCCCACGCAGCAGCGTCAGTTTGGGGGGAAGGGAAGGGGGAAGATGTACTTATGAAGCTTGGATAATGCCTCGAGAGAAATGAATAGTCAACACGGGAAAGTGTAGACTAAAGGGAAAAGAGGATGGATGTGAAGAGGATGAAGAGGAAAGAAAAAAAAAGGTCAGAGCAGCTGGGATGAGCTCTGATAAGAAGGAAAGGTTTTTTCTGCCGCCTCTGGAATTTTTTTTTGCAGCCTTCCGCCTGTCGAATAAGGTTAGAACCAGGCACGCCAAGGCACACTAAGGCACACAGTGGATGCACACAGTGGAGAATCCAGTTCCTATTCAGGCCCACTCACCGCTTTTACTGATGTGAGACTAGCAGCGAACACAAGCAAACCCTCAGAGAGGACCGTAATGGCAAGGGCTTGTAGAAGAGTACGAAACAAAGGAAAAGAGAAGAGATTGGGATGACTGGGTGTATATTGAAGAAGGTAACTCCTGAGCAAAAACTAGAGATGGGGTGGAAGGAAATCGCGACCGTGGTCACGTGTAACATTGCTGTTCAAACCCCAGAAAAGCCATAACAAAACCACTACCATTGGATTCTTCCCGCCACAGCAGCGGCTGAACTGCCGGGATTCCGTAATACAGTAATATCCCTTGTTAAGTTGTGCTTGGACTTGCCTAAGAGGAGGTTCACCTAGTCCTAAGTCTGGAAGAGCTGGCCTAGCTTGTGAGTACGTGGGCGTTGATAGAGAAGGTACTGGACTTGTGAGAAGCGATGCTGGCGTACAGACTGGGCTTGTAGGCTCTGAGAGAAACGATGCGGGCGTCTGGACTGAGGATGTAGGTGTACAGATTGAGGATGCTGAACTTGTAAGACAGGGCTTCTTAGTAGCTTTCTCGTAAGAAGCTAGAGACAGTAGAGCTTGGATGTTGATGAAGAAATTAAGAAAGATCGTAGTGTCTGTGAAAAGAATTGGTGCTGGTGTCCATGGCTCAGAGGATTGTGACTGTAGAGCTGGGTAAAGAAGTCTTGAAGTGTATTCTCAGGAGAATTGAGAGGCTGTATCTCTAGAGTTGGTTGGACTCTAGCTTGATTTGGCTGAATTTCTGAGTTCTGAATATAAGCTTGGCTTATCTCTTGGAGTGGGGTAAGTGGTGCAGATGTGAACAACGCCTCATCTGCATAGTGTTTGTTAGCTCGCACACGAGGTGTCCAAGTGCCGTATAAGGCCTGTCCTGCTAATTCCTTGATTGAATCAACATTGTTTGGCCTAGAGGATAAGCTAGCAAAATCTTGAATAATATCCAAGGGTATCGTCGAAAGAGATTCTGCAGGAAGCATGAAGACATCACGATATGTACCTTGGCGAACATCATGGCTGGTGATATGTGAGACGTCTAGTCCAGATCGTACAGTCATCTCCCAAGACTATCGTTGTAATTATATAAATCAAGAGTCCGGGCATAGTGTAGACTTCTCAGGTAGTCTTTCTTGCAACCAACCATCAGCGAACGATCATGATGTTTCCAGTTCAACTGTTGTCTTGGGTCACGTAGCATGAGTTCCAATGTCTGGTCCAGGGACTAATGGGAAAGCTGATCGGTTCGGATTGCGAGAATCAATATCCAGGTAACTGGACACATGAAGCGTTCACAGAGATTGGAGAATCAGCGCTGTTCGGAAAATCTTTGATGAGCTTTGAGACAGGCTTTTTGTTGACATCTCGCTAGAAAAAGAAAGTTAGTATTGTAGTATAAGAAAGAAGATCAGCAAAAACATACTTGAGATTTTTCAACCAGCGAAACTTAACCATGCATTCAATATCAGACATCTTTAGCTGTCCTCTGGTCCCATCATAACCACAAGTAATCTGAACTGTCCGGTCACCCCATATCATAAGTAATCTTTATGAGAATTGTCCCCGATGAGCTCGCCAATTCGGGAAATAGAAGCAGCATGAAGAAATAGACCTGTGAGAAACTGTATGTATTTATCCCATGCAATATTCTTCGTCTGAATATTTAGAGTCAGGGCACGTTCAATCATCCGCCGGATGATTGATGCAGATATCCAGTTCTGATGATCAAAGTTCTGATGATCAAGTTTCTTCTGTGTAAAGATAATTCAGAATAGCCAAGGTGAATTCCGTAGTTCAGAATGGCCAAGATAAAAGAGAAAGTAAAAGCAGTGTCTCGTAGCAGAGTATCGGGGCTGAAAAAAAAACACACCCTAGTCTCAAACGAGTAGGAGATACTGCACAAGTTAACCAGCCTCAAAGGCTAAAGAAAGATGTTGACAAGAAAGAAAAGACAGATTGTAAGAGAAGGAGAGGAGAGTAGATAAGGAAGAGAAGAAGAAGAAGAAATAAGGAGGGGGAAGAGAGGGTGATGGCTATGATCGCAGTCCTGAGGAAGGTCCGGTTGGAAGGAGCGGTCGGTCCAGTAGCTGGTGGAATGAATGATACGCGTCTCCTACCCTAAATAATATATAGGCTAACTTGAAACCTATGCAGAATGTATTGAACAAGTATGATTCTAATAACAACTTGAGGTTGAAGCCCCAGCCAAGTTCATGACTTGGGGCTAATTTCAATATAGATTCCCGGTCCCCGTATTTCAGGCAAAAGGCCTGGGCCCCACCAATTCACAGTACGGGTCTAGCCTCTACAACACCGACCTCCCGTTTTGCGTAGTCATTTGAGGAAAAGTATTAAATAAAAGCCCAAACATAACAGAAAAATACTAGAAATATATTGTCATTTATCTCATTTTTCGGATTTATTATTATGGCGATATTAACTAGTTAAAGCGACCCCTTGCTTAGTAATACCCGATTCCGCTCTCCGCTCTCCGGCCTCCGCTTGCTGTGCTTCCGTGCTTCGTATACCGTGGCAGACTATGGTATGAGACAGGTATACCACATTTAACGCTTTCACCCGGCTTTTCCCCGCCGCTATTCAATGGGACTGATCTGATCCGATCTGCTACTTGATCTCCCACACAATGGCCCCTTCCACCCCCTCCTCCCATCGCCCGCGCAAGAAGAGAAAGGTTCCCACCGCGCCGGGATCCAACAACAACTTGATCTTGGATATCGGAGATGGCAAACAGACCCCAGCATTTCCCTCGTCTCGTTCTTATGGGCTGCGCGTGCGGGTGTTTCACAATGGCTGATTCTGCCCCTAACTCTCATGGCTGTCGGTCTCTTCCGATGGGCCGTTGGCTTATGGGGATACTCAGGTGAGCCCAAGCATTCATAGTACCATCAGAAGAAAAGCAGTATGGTATCTAACAATCTCAATTAGGCTTCCAGGTCCCCCCAATGCACGGTGACTTCGAGGCCCAGAGACATTGGATGGAGATTACCACACATCTGCCAATGGCCAGGTGGTATCTCTACGATTTGCAATATTGGGGCCTCGACTACCCCCCATTAACTGCATACCATAGTTGGCTGCTGGGTAAAATGTACGTCCTTCAATTGAGTGATCTCAATGCCCCTCCCTCCATGTTAGTATCCCACTAACTGAATCAGTGGCTCCATCGTTGAGCCTGCTTGGTTTGCATTGGACAAGTCCCGCGGCTTCGAGGACCCGCATTTGAAGGTCTTCATGCGCGCCACCGTCATTGCATCAGAGTACCTCATTTACATCCCCGCCATCGTGAACTTCCTTCGCCGATATACCCGCATGCAGGGTGTACATGCGTGGTCCGCCTCAATTGCCCTCGTTGCGATTCTTCTCCAGCCGGCAACCATCCTCATCGACCATGGTCACTTTCAGTATAATACCGTTATGTTGGGACTGATGGTCGCAAGTTTGGATGCCATTCTTGCGGGCCGCATGCTCTGGGCGTGTCTATTCTTTGTTGGCGCCCTGGGCTTTAAGCAGATGGCGCTCTATTATGCACCGGTCATGTTTGCCTATCTGCTGGGCGTCTGCATCTTCCCCCGGATCCGCATCCTCAGACTCATCAACATCGCCATCATCACCCTCGCCGCTTTTACTTTGCTCTTTGCACCACTCCTGGTTGCTGCAACTAACCCTGAAGCCCGAGCATTGTTTGCGACATCGCCGCAGCCTCCCCTCTTGCAGGCACTCCCTATCTCACTCGACAAGAACACAGCGGCATACGCGATTCTCTTCCAGCTGACGCAGACTATTCACCGTGTGCTCCCCTTCTCCCGCGGAATCTTTGAGGATAAAGTTGCCAACGCCTGGTGTGCCATTCACACATTCTACAAGCTCCACCACTTCGATGTATCCCTACTCCAGCGAGCTTCGCTGGGCGCCACATTGGCTTCGATCGCCATTCCTTGTGGTATCATCTTCCGCCACCCGCGAGCATCTCTTATCCTCCCCGCCTTGTCCTGTGTTTCCTGGGGCTTCTTTCTGTTCTCTTTCCAAGTGCACGAGAAAAGCGTCCTCCTGCCGCTCCTTCCCATGACTCTGTCACTCGCTGGAGATGGCGGTCTTAACAAGGAGAACCGCGCCTGGGTTGGTTGGGCCAATGTCCTTGGCTCGTGGACTATGTATCCACTGCTTAAGCGCGAGGAGCTTCGTGTTCCGTATATTGTGATGACCCTCCTGTGGGCCTACTTGATGGGTCTGCCACCAGTATGTCTGGAGACTTACCGCAGCCGTGCGACATTGGAAGACCCCAATCCGCAATTCGAGCTGCACCTCCTGACCAAGCTCATTCATTTTGCATTCTACCTTGCGATGGTTGGCTGGCATGTTCTTGAGGCATTTGTGCCCACACCTGCCGGCAAGCCAGACATCTGGGTCGTCCTCAACGCACTCATTGGAGCGGGTGGTTTCGGGCTCGCCTATCTCTGGTGCATGTGGAAGTTGATTACCCAGTGCCGCCAGATCGATCTTCAAGTTGCCGAAGAAGAGAGCCGGAAGAAGAAGCAGTGATGGGATGTTGTGTGGTCAGGCTTTTGCGCTTTTCAGTGATACCCAATATATACTACGTGATTGATACCTAGGGAGGAACAAAATGTACTGCTAGCAATGTAGCGATATTTAATACTTTCTTTGCTTCGAGTTCAAGTTCACTGGGCAAGTTCAGGTTCGGTGTGGAGTGTCAAGAGAGATGAGATTGTATTCGTACAGACGCGATTCGGTGATGACAATCACCCATCATTGATCCTGGTATAAAAAAGAACATATCTAGATGCAGTAAAGTATCCACATACAGACATAAAAGAAAGAAAGAAAAAGAAAACTCCATGCCCAAGATGCTGTGATAAAGTGTACATGATATGGTACAGAACGAGATCCATTGCATCAGACCCGTCTAGACTTTGAAACCAAAGCCGGCCATGCAAGTCTTGTACTGATCGATAGTAGACTGGCACTCCTTGGCGGGGTCATCGGACTTGGAGAAGAGCATGCAGTCATCGCGGGCGGTCTTCTCATCCTTGCAGACGCAGCAGGGCTGTATATGTGTATGACAGGGTCAGTCTTTGTGTTTGCGGACGTTGGTTGGTAAGCCGTCGTACCTTGGGCTTGTCGGTCTGGGCTGGCTTCGTCTGGGCCTCTGCAGGGGCGGGGGCGGTTTTTTCTATTGGCAATTTGGTTAGCAATTGGCCTTATTTCACTGCAATGGGTATGTCCATGACCGGTGCGCATTGCGACTAGTAATCCTTGAAATGCGCCGGGTCCTCGGTGACTCCAGATTGGGATTTGTATGGGCGGGTTGGGCTTACCACTGGAAGATCCAAAGAGCCACGACATTTTGAACGAGTGGATAGTAAAGAGTAACGAAAGTCGAGAGAGAAGGGAGAAGGGTTAGATGAGGGATGAGTGATCAAGTATTGACTGATCGGAGTATCGGAGGCAGCATTATTAAGAATTGCGCAGTTGGTGCATTCCGCCCGCCGTGCTAACTTTTTTTGTTATCGGCCAAACAACGTCCAATCTTCTTTGTTGCCCCCCCTCCATCGCCCCTCTTGTCTTCCCCAATTTTTCACTTTTTCTGGGTTTGATCTCTCTTACTCTTAGAATTCCTTTGATCTCTTGGAGCTCCGTCTCATTTCTTATTTCCTTTTCCTATTTCTCCATTCGATCTGCTCGATCCCCCTCCCCTGAACCCACTACCCCGCCATGGCCCCTACTAAGGTCTTCTCCCTCGATGGCAAAAGCCTGAAGCTCGACACTGCCGAAGACATTGAGGCACACATCAAGCCTCTTGTCGAGAGCACCGATTACACCGAGATTCGCCTGGGCGGTAACACCCTCGGCGTGGGTGCTTCCGAGCGTCTCGCCGCTGTCATCGCCACCCAGAAGAGCCTCGAACACGCCGATCTTGCCGATATCTTCACCTCGCGACTCCTGTCCGAAATTCCCCCGGCCCTGAAATCCCTCCTCGACGCCCTCCTTGAGATCCCGTCCGTACACACCGTCAACCTATCCGACAATGCCTTCGGTCTCAACACTCAGGCCCCCCTCGTCGATTTCTTGTCCCGCCACACCCCCCTTCGCCACCTGATCCTGAACAACAACGGTCTTGGCCCCGCCGCTGGTACATTGGTCGCCGATGCTCTGAGCAAACTTGCCGAGCGCAAGGAGGAAGCGCGCAAGGAGGGCAAGGTGGTCGCCCTGCTGGAGAGCATTGTCTGCGGACGTAACCGTCTCGAGAACGGCAGTATGGAGGCCTGGGCCCGCGCCTATGAGAAGCACGCCGCCGGCCTGAAGTCCGTCAAGATGACTCAGAACGGTATCCGCCAGGAGGGTATCTCGCTGCTGCTTAAGAACGGTCTCCGCCACGCCAGCGGCCTGGAGGTCCTGGACCTGCAGGATAACACTTTTACCGTTATGGGTTCCACCGCTTTGGCTAGTGTTTTGGAGGGCTGGCCTTCCCTGCGCGAGCTGGGTGTTGGTGACTGCCTGCTCTCTGCCCGTGGTGGTGTCAAGGTTGCCAAGGCTCTGGCTGCCAACAAGAACCAGAAGATTCAGACTCTTCGTCTCCAGTACAATGAGGTTAAGGCCGACTTCGTGAAGGAGCTTGCTTTTGCTGCTAAGACTGCCCTCCCTAGCCTGCGTCGCGTTGAGCTAAATGGAAACATCTTCTCTGACGATGATGAGAACATTACCGTTCTGCGTGAGCTTCTGGAGGCTCGCCAGGAGGAGCACGGTACTGATGATGACCCTGAGGATAGCTGGGGTGTTGATGAGCTTGATGAGCTCGAAGAGGAAGAGTCCGAAGAGGAAAGTGAGGGCGAGGAGGAGGGAGGAGGAGGAGGAAGAAGAGGAGGAGAAGCCCAAGACTGAGAAGGACATCAAGGATGCTGAGCGTTCTGAGGCAAACGCCCAGAAGATCGAGAAGGCCGTCGATGATCTCGCCGACGCCCTGGGCAAGACTGGCCTGTAGATCATTTGATCTACCTGCCCCCTTCCATATTGAATCCAGAATATTTGTTTATTGACGGATTCTGGAGTCATACCGCCTCTCGCACTAGTCATGCAGGCAGCCCGACACGCGCGAAACCTTAGTCCTGGAGAACAAAATGTCTCCATGGTCTTTGTCTTCCCGCGCAGCTCACGAGCACCCCGACTGACGATACCGACGCTACATCATCAAAAAAATTTCCCCTATCTTCATATACCCTGTTGACGTTGACGATGACGACTGCACATAATCCCTTTCTTTTTCATCCATAACACATGCATAGCCACCTCGAGCTCTGGTTTTCGAAGGAGGATACAAAAAAGGATTTGCTCATAGATGTGAATACAACTGGTCCACCAGGCGACCATCTCTTGCCTAATCAAACAATCTCCACACACGATGATACATGTACTGGCCAGCTCCAAGTAAGCCCTTGTTGATCCAGCGGACCAATCCAGGAACACCCGTTTGATAGCGGAAGGCGAGTTGCCACAGCCGAGTCTATCCCCGAAAGAAGACAAGCTGGATGCCCAAAGCAGAAAGGAGGCGAATATCTCTTTGAGCCCCATTTGCAGGGACTGTAGTGAGGTTTCATTCAAAGCGAAGAGGATATGCTACAGTCCTTGGGGAATATTTTTGGTCTAGTCACACTTTTCACGTCGACCAATATTCCTTTCTTTGTCGAGGGGACTTCAATAGAAATTTGGCCCGACCAATCATCATTCATCCTAAAATGGATATACAGGCATCATCCACGCTTCGATAGCAATACCACTGTTTCATATGTATCATCTTTGATGGCCTTGGGCTGGCATTGATTAAGCTTCCCGGTAGTATACTCACTTGTTTTGGATATCCGGGGAGGGGTCCTTTAAATTGTCTTTTAAAGGAAGCACGCTTCCACTTAGACATACAGCTACTGCTAAATCAGAATCGAGGCTCAAAATGGGTTTTCATCGTAACCCTCTTCTCACGCTGGCCTATTTGCTCGGTCTTTTGCTGGATCCTGTTGCTGCCACCGTCACAGCTGGATCCTTTCAAGGAAACAATGTATGTCCTGCTAGTGACTATCTTCAACAGAATCATCGATTTTTTTTTTATCGAGCTAAGAGCTGACCATGTCATTATTCTCGATAGTACACGACCCTCCACGCCCGCGATATATCTCCTTACCAACCAGATGCCATCACTGGTATTTGCTACACCTACGTTGTCCAAGCACACGACTCTGGCAACTGCAAAAGGATCGCCGAAACCACCTGCATCACAGTGGATGATATAGAAAAGTACAACAAAAACATCTGGCTGTGGAGGGGGTGCAAAAAGATTATGCAGGGAGATTTCATCTGTCTCGGTCCTGGGGCTATTCCGATGCCAGTTGCGCTTCCGAATGCTAAGTGTGGTCCACAAGTTGTTGGAACTGGGAGACCGGCTAATATGGGCGATCTCGCGAGTTTGAACCCGTGTCCGTCGAAGGATGAATGCGTAAGTTTTCGTTCGTTCGTTCGTTCTTTGATTCTTGTTTTCGTCTTTCTGCTTTCAGGTATTTTCAATGTTGATATTTCGAGTTGGCCTTGCTGATAACGCTTTTCTTGACAGTGTCAAGGCACTACCGGTGGATGTACTTCTACTAGCCTCAAACAGTGCAAGGATAGCTATTATTGTATTCAGAACTGCGTGGATAATCCGAAAAGCACGACTAGTACTACAACGAAAAAGAAGAGAGCCACGACCAGTACCACTACGACCACCACTGCTACAACGACGACAAAGAAAGGACCCCAGACTAGAACCACTACATCTAAACCTCGCGAGAAAACGTGGAGCGTAACCATCTACCAGGGCAGGGACTGTGAAGCAGATGACGGCAATTATGCCCTTGTAGAGGGATACACAACCGGCTGGTCTGAATGCATTGACATTAACTCGGATTTCAAGTCTGATATGGGATCGGGTAAGACCTCTTGTCGGCTGTTCATCGACGGGGGGTACAACTGGACATCCTGTGATCATTGGGACCTGCTGAAGCCCGGTTCGTGGTATGTTCAGCAGGGGCTCTGTGATGTTTATACCGATGGAAATTGTGGATCTGGCAGTGGCCGGATTAGCTCAGATATCCTCGGTTGTCAGGATAAGAATACGCTGGCTTTTGGGCCGGAGAAGTTTGGGTCTCTTATGTGCAAGAATGCTGCTTCAAGGGTACTGTATTCATGGTGTCGATCAGTCTGATGAACAGACTATTACATATTCTCTTGTATTTTATTTTTAATTAATTTTATCGCTTTAAGTTCGTCTTTTGGCCATTCACGTATAGCAGATACTACTATTAGTACTCTTAATATCCCTCGCTTGGACGAGCAAGCCAACTTGAACAATGAAAGGAGTGAGTAGGAATATCTAAAATGAAGAAAATAAAATCCCGAATCAAAGTTATCCACGTGCGTAATTTACATCCTTGGGTACTGTTGTAACTTGTTGTAATTATTGCATTTATGTTGTAGTTGTAGTTGTAGTTGTAGTTAGGTTGTATACTTCCAGTTAGATGTCCGAATCGGGCAATCACGTCTTGGCATTCAACCTCGAAGCTTCGCAGCTTCTGCCGGCTTTCCATGTTGCCCTCATTTCTCCCTTCGCCCTCCAACATCTTCCCCCTCAACTCTCTCTCCTCCTGCTCTCGACTGAATTCGCCCTCACAGCCCGTCCATCGGTATTGGCTGTGGCCCTGGAGTAAGTGACCGCGTGACCCCTCCCATTCACCACCATCCCCCATATACCGCACCATGCCGGTCGCAAGATGCATTTGAGCCGGCGCATTGGGGTGAGGATGCTCGGAAACCTTCCTCTCGCTGTCTGAGGGGAATATTCGATGTTTCGTGGTAACCATGTGCGATTCGAGATGTGGGTGACTTGCCATTGCAAAGTCACTCACGGGAAGCAAGGCAAAGAAAACTATGCTCAATCACCATCTAGAGCACCATACCTGCTCTGCGGTGGCCAGTTGAGCACTGAACTCCTAATCCTTGGTCTTCCTAAGCACTGGGTCTCCAGGAGACGCCGCGAAAAGACTCTTTTCGCAACCATCAATGCGCAGCCTGCTAACTTTGGTTTTGTTACAGACTACAACGCAAAACGAATCCATCCTCATCCAACTGCTCAGTTTCTCAGTTCTCGTATTGATATATTCCCTACGACCCCCACCAACCCGCGGCCATGGATGCCAAAGAAATCGAGACCAAGGCCAAGGCCCTGACCAAGGCAGCCGCGGCAGATGAGCCAACCTCCACGATGATCGGGATGCTGAAGGAACTGCAAACAGGAGTGCGCGCATCAGAAAGCCTCTTACGATCGACTCGCATCGGTATCATAGTCAACAAGCTCAAAACATCAAAAACCCCCGAAGTCGCGCGACTAGCTAGCGAGATCGTTTCGAGATGGCGCACCGAAGTCAACAAGCAAAAGCAAGCCGGTGGATCAGCAGCCAGTCGAGCCTCCAGCTCTCCTCGTCCGGCTCAAAACGGCAGCACCGGCGCATCCACACCCGCAGGGACTACCCCGACTGATAAGACATCGAAGCTGTCCGTTCCACCAGACAAGCGCACATGGAAGGCGGATAAGGTGGACACCAACGTAACCACGAGCAAGGTCCGCGACAGCTGCATCGGTCTTATGTATGACGGTCTGTGTCTGGGGTCGACCGAGTCGCCTAAGGATGTTTTGAAAAAGGCCATTTCTGTGGAGGGCGCTGCATACGATGCTCTCGGACCAGATACCAAGGAGGCATATCGCACGAAGATGCGCAGTCTGTTCCAGAACTTGAAAAACAAGAACAATGTCAGCCTGCGGAAGCGCGTACTTGAAGGCGACATCAAGCCTGATTATTTTATTCGCATGACGTCCGATGAACTGCGCTCTGATGCGCAACGTGAGGCGGATGAGAAGATCAAAAAGATGAATATGAACAACGCCATGGTTGCTCAGGGCGAGAAGTCGATCAGTACCAGTTTGCAGTGCGGCAAGTGCGGCCAGCGAAAGGTCACCTACACCGAAGCCCAGACTCGCGCTGCTGATGAACCGATGACTTTGTTCTGCACGTGCTTGAATTGCGGCAAGTCCTGGAAGCAGTGAGAGATTGCGCGAGGTTGTGACGTCGATGTGATCTACGGATCAAAATTGAAACGCGGTCGTGTGGAAAAGACAAATGTATCATTGTATTGGGGCTCGGTGTTTCTTTTTCTTGATTTGCTGCGTTTCTTTGGGGCCTAGCTAGGCTCTTTTTCTCAATTTTCAGTTCTTTTTTTCTTCCGCCTTTTTCCTTAACTTATGGTTTCCGCCCTTGATTCATGGCTTTTCACGCCGAAATGGAGTTTTGTTGGAATTTGGAGGTGATCCGGAGGGAATGATGGATGGGCGGGTTCCAAGTTGTCCATGATGGCGAAATCAATACACGAAGTCGAGATGATGGAGGGTTTCAGTCGTCAATGGGTGCATTGAATGGCTTATCACGAAGGAATATCTTTTCCTCTATTCCAAGGTTCTTATTAAAGAAATCAAATGGAAACGAATGTCATGTTTTAAGACACTAGTACTATCCAACCCTTCTCCAGGGTTTAGGCTAACAGGACCACTCACCTGAAAGTTGAACTTGAAGTACTACATAGTACTAGGTAGTACTAGTAGTAACGGAACCTCCAAATTTCACAATAAATACCCTCTAATCTACTAACCTTGGAATCGTTCCAATGCCCAAGGGGGTGAGCAAATGCCAGTGGCTAATATACGGACAGATTTGTCTTCAAGTCCCATTTAATCAAGAAGTACTATCCAATTTATCTTCAATGTTTAACATTACTATATTATTTGATATAAAAGGCCCCGCAAACATCCTATTCTGTGGGGCATCATGGCAATATAAGGTAACCATCCATCGGATGTAATTGATGACGTCGATCTTCAACTTGAACATCAACCAGGACTCCCGAAATAATACAAGGCTTACCTCGGGCACCAAACCCATCAATCAACCTTCAATTTGAACCAGAAACAAAAACAAGGAAATGGCATCAAGAAAATCCCTCACAGACGCAGTCAACACCTTCCTGCAAGCTATAAAAACCACCCCCCCTCTCAACAACCAAAATCCTCCAAGCATTCACCAAAAGCCCAGTACCTCTAATCTACGAGCATGGGCTACCACAACTAGCCCCATTTCTGGGCCGCCGATTCACAGGGCCCGAGGGTGTGATACATTACTTCGAGTTGCTTGGCGAAACGCTCTCGATCGAGGAGATGAAGTTTGAAGATGAGGGGGACTGGGTGGTGGACGACTCTTCTTCGGCGGTTGTTTTGAGAGGGCAGGGAAGGTTTTGTTGGAAAGGGACTGGTCAGGTTTGGGATGAGACTTTTATTTATCGGGTTGCTCTTGGGGTGGAGGGAGGTGGGGATGGGGAGATGAAGGTTTGTGAGTATCGAATTTGGGCGGATACTGGGGCTGCGTATCTTGCTAGGTGTGGGCAGTTGGAGGAGGTTTTTGATGAGGATAGGGATAGGGACAGTGATGGGAAAGGGCGACGTCAGAATGCGCTTGGGAATGGGCTGAATGTGTATGGCAGTTGTGGTTGAAGTGAAGGGTCAAAAAAACTGCGGAGCCGGGCTACGGAAACTGGTGATAGTGTCATATTTTCGCGAGGCAAAACACATTGGAGATTTTTCTATCTTCTAAAAAGCGAGTTCTTTTCTTATGTTACACTCTTCCAAGGCAATTAACCAACGTAAGTCTATGCCAGGACGGATCGCCGAAAGCCGAAGGAGCAAGAGAAGCTGGTCACAAGACCCGTTCAGGTCAAGAGAAATTCATATCTCGCCGAGATGTGAAAGGTTGAATATGAGAGGCGAAGTTGAAAGGTAAAAGGTGAGAGATGAGAGATAAGAGATGAGAGGTAAGAGGTAAGGGTTGAAAATACACGGGAATATCATCCCTCAAAGATGTTCTGGTTCAGTTCGACCCCCATATCCTTGGCCATGCCTTGCATTTGAGCCTCAATGGCATCTTCCATCCCCCCACCAAGATGCAAGAACTGTCGGATCTTGGTGAACCAGAAGAAAATGTCACTTGTAAACAAAACAAAGCGGAAGACCATATGCCGGCCAAGATTGCGGATCTTTTCTGGCAAAGATAGATCGGGAGATTCGACCAGTGCCCGTGAGGCCCAAGTTCCGGTAATCTTGACACGATTAACCGGCGAGCCAAGGAACTGGTTGTTCGCCTGAACGATGCGCAGATTGCGGCCAATGAAGATCAACTCCTGCGGCCATTTTGTCTCGTCGCCAAGAATGTCACGAATGGCCTTGCGTGCAGCCTGCTGCATCTCGTAGGAACGTTGAGCTCGTTCAGACTTGCTCAATCCCTCCAGGCCGCGCTGGGTCGACAGGTCACCGCCGCGGTAAGGGCGCATCAGAGTTGCCGAGGCGAAGACATCGGTGTTTTTAACTCCCCATTTCTGGACAATCTCACCCAGGGTATCGTTGTCGAAGGTGAGCATGGCCTTCCAGAGACGTGCGTACTGGTTTCGGAAATCAGGGTCCATGTGAATGTACAAGCCGTGGTCAATGAGAACCAGCTCCGGTTGACCAGATGGCTTTCGACGGATGAAGATATTGCCTGGGTGAGGATCACAGTGTACCAATCCCCAGAGGAACATTTGGGCAGAAAACAGGTCAACCATGGTCGTCATCACATCCTTGAGGGATAGTCCCAGCCCACCGCGGTCGTTCTGGCCTCGCCAGTGGTTGCGCTCCGGTTTGACCTTTGACAGCCTTGGATCCATAGGGGCAGCAGCGCTTGCTGGGGGATCCATTGGTGTTCCGTGACAACCAGGGCTACCCTGGCGCCAACCGCCACGCCATGTGCGAGTAATGGCATCTTTGTCCCAAAGCCGTACACCTTCAATCCATTCAGCGGTCATGACTCGGTGTGAGCTCAGCTCACGGAACACCTTTGGGATGTAGACACGGTTCCGTAAGCGAGGTTCTCCGGCAACGAGCCGCGCCATCTGCTCTGAATTATCGGCTTCATTGAGAAAGTCCGTCTCGAGGGACAATCGCTCGCTGATGTAGGGTACCAAGCTGTAGAAGGGGATATCGAATAGTTTGCTGTAGATCCAAGTCACGGTTCTATCGAGGGAAGTTAGCCCAGATTCGGAGACTCTCATATCGCCCGGCGCCTTTCCTTCAAAGGCAGCACTCACTTGAAAGCGAACAGGTCCCAGGCCAGCTGCTGTACAATCTCCCGTTTCTGGATCTTAATTGCAACCTCCCGACCATCCTGCAGACGAGCCCAGTGTACCTGAGCGACACTGGCACTGGCACGAGCCTTGCGCTCCATGACACCTTTATCCGGCTCCCCAGTGAAGGAGATTCCAAAGACCTCTTCGGGGGACTTGCCGAATCCCTCCCGAATGACCCTCTCCACGTCTTTCCAGTCATTTTGCGGCGCGTCGTCGAACATGCGAGAGAACATCTGTTGGAACTCGGGCGGTAAGATGGCCGATTGCATTGCGATCGCTTGACCCATCTTTAGGTAGAGCCCACCATTGTGACGTAACAGATCGGATAGGCGCTCGGCGTTCCGGCCATGAACCGAATTGATGGATTTTGCCAGCGGCGGATTTGGTCTGAAATTAATCTTGTAATCAAGAGCGACGAGAAGGCCGAGGGAGAAGGTCCGAGCCGTTCGAGTCAGAGAGGATGCGTAGAACTGGTTGTCGATGCCGTAGATGACACCGGCCGTGAGGGATGTATAGAATAGCCGTCGCAGCCATTTGCGAGTCCTTTTGTATTCTTTGGCCGCAGTTGGTTTTCCCAGGGATGCGGGTGATGGTGGAACAAAGGGCTGATAGCTGCCTGCGTGGACATGTCGAAGAAGCGACGGGCGGGGCTGGGGGAGGCGTGATGCGACAGTTGGCCGCAACGAGCGAAGGAGTGTGGCGTGCGCCATTGTAGTCGCAGACAATCAGCTATTATCAGCGCATATCTGAGGAAGAGAAGGAGGAGATAGTGACAAGAGTTTAAGAGGGAAAGAAAGAAGAGAAGTCAAAGAGAAGTCAAAAGGACGTCGGGAATTGCAAACCGGAGTCGGAGATAAGATTAGCGCCTTCCGTCATCACGAGACCGAACTCCGCGGACTACAACCACTTCCTCTAGTAAAGTACTCTGGTACCCTACGCTTGCACTACTCTGCCTATTCTAGGCTATTGCTATTTCAGCTTAGTTCCAGAAGCTGACAACCATATTGTCTCACGTCAGCCTCGCACTCATTGCCGTTCGTGGGGGCGAGTATATACATAAAACACCCCACATTGACTCCATCTCCCCTACTACACACTAATCCTAACCATCTTTCTATACTCCATCTCGGTCATGGATGAGCTGAACTTAAATCTCCAGGAGGTCGACTCTCTTGAGGCAATCGTGATCGTGGACAATGAGCTGGATCCGATGTCCCCTCCAGCTCCAGATACTGTTCAAATCGTGGGAAACTTAGGACAGATCGCGTTGAGATCAGATAACGATTTGACCGATCGAGGTGGTGCTTCCAAAGAAATGCGAATGGAAGATATATGCTGCTCTGCGCATGGTCTCTCTATATTAGTGGTGAGATTAAACAATCCTCCAAACTCCCTCCGCACGAGGAATCATCCCACTGATATGATACAGACAGCTACCAAGGGTGACCAGAAACACTCGGTCCTTTTCGATGTTGGGCCAGAGGAAGATGTCTGGGAAAGAAATGTCAATCGGCTACGTCCCAATCTCTCCTCCATCGAAGTCATCCAACTCTCGCATTGGCATAGAGATCACTCAGGTTGGTTATTCGTCCATATGCTCCAACATTCTCGACTACATGGCCGTTGGATTAATATGAAATGCAGGCGGCCTATTAAGAGCAATCAAAATGATCAGAGAATCCCGCTCAGACGACCTTGTCGTGGACGTACATCCAGACCGACCAGTCTATCGAGGAATTGCTCTGCCAGAAACTATCATCTCCCTCCAGGCCGACCCAACCTTTGAGGAAATCCAAAAAAGCGGCGCAGTACTACAAAAGCATGACGAAGCCCACACGGTAC